ATTATTCTATTTTTAGCTATTTTCTGCTGCATTGTTTTCGTGAGTTTTGAGTACGTTGAACTAGTTTCCTAGCTCAATTATAGTTAATTTAGGGTAATTTCTTTTTTTTTTTTAATTTTTCAGATTTTTCTGAATTTATCCAATTTAAAACACGTTTTTAGCGCATTATCGGGTCGTGCTTGGGTCTGTTGGTCGCGCGACACAAGACCCGGCACAGCACCGCGCGGATTTTAGAAAGAAGTGTAGGCACTCACAATGTTTATGCATACGGATTCAGCCACGTGGCCAATGACTTAGGTTGTTAGGCAACATTGAAATTATTCCCCATTGCCAAAATAAATAAATAAATAAAATAATAATAATTATAATAAATGAATAAGACAGTTGAGTTTTTCTTGTTCATTTACTGGCCTAGGGCTAGATGACTTTGCATGGTCATCTTAGGCTTTCTCAAATAAGTCCAAATCTATCACTTTAGACCCTCCATCCACCGTCCAATGATGAAATAATAATGACGGAAAAGATGGGAGAGGAATGTGGGGGAAGAGTTTTACAGAGGAAGGCGCCTTTTGAGAGACTCGACCTCATAAAACTAAAGGAGGTCCTAAAAAAAATAAAATAAGGAAAGAGATGGGAGAGGTATGTGAGATGGGAGAGTTTTAAGGAGGAACACCCTTTTTCAAATTTGGATGTGTTTCAATAAGGTTGCAATCTTAAACAATCCAATTAAGATGCAGCTCCAAATTTTATTATAGCATGTAATTTTGGTGTAAAAAGTTCTTAAGATTTTTTAAAAATGTATTTTCATATCTAATTATAAAATTTTAAACTCCAATAATGGTTAAAATCACGTAGATATATAAACATGTGAAAATATTGAAAATAGACGGTCTAGATAATGTGTTACAAGATGAACTATATTTGGGATTCAAAATCTTTTTTTTTTTTAACATTCATACATCTTGATGTCGAGATGATCAATTAGAGGTTCTTTCAACATTAAAACAACCTTTTTCGATGGATGTTTGAGGTGCATCTGTAATTCTACATTTTAAGGTGTAATAAAAACAAGTAAGGTCATATTTTCACTTAACATATAGTAGATAGATATAATATTATTTATAAAGGAAAAATTTATATAAGGTTGCAACCGTAAAATGTAGAATTACAGATGCACCTTAAAAATCTATCGGAAAAGTTGTTTTAATGTTGAAAAACCCTCTATTTGATTATCTCGACATCGAGATGTATGAATATAAAAAAAAAAAATTGAGTCTCAAAAATAGTGCATCTTGCAACATATTATCTAGGCCGTCTATTTTCAAGAATTTCATATGTTTATAGATCTCCTTGATTTTAACTATTTTTGGAGTTTAAAATTTTATAATTAGATATGAAAATAGAATTTAGGATAATCCTAAGAATTTTTTACAACAAAATTACTTGTTATGATAAAATTTTGAGGTGCGCCTTAATTGGATTGTTTAAGGTTGCAACCTTATAGAAACCGCACCCTTATTATACTTAGTGGGATAATATGTATTGCACTTAGAAATGAAATAAGCATCCACATAAATAATTACATAAAATATGTCAAGCATTTATGTAAATAATTTCCTAAAGTTTATATAAGGTTGTAACTTTAAAATGTAGAATTACATACGTGCCTCAGAAATCCATCAGAAAAGGCTGTTTTAATGTTGAAAAATCCTCTAATTGGTCATCTTCACATCAATATCTATGAATATGACAACAAAAAAAGTTGAGTCACAGAAATAGTGCATCGTGCAACACTTTATCTAGATCGTCCATTTTCAAGATTTCATATATTTATAGATCTACTTGATTTTAATTATTTTTTTAATTCAAAAATTTGTAATTAGATCTAAAAATAGATTTTCAGATAATCTTAAGAATTTTTTACACTAAAATTACATGTTATGATAAAATTTGGAGGTGCGCTTTAATTGGATTGTTTAAGGTTGCGACCTTGTAGTGATGAAATAATATATCAATATGTGTTGAGCGATCACCTAGATAATTACATGATTTTCCAATGGGAAAGTCCATTACATGTAAAACATATTCTTAATATTTATTTATGATTCTAACTATATTTATATAATTGTTTTAATATTCACTGTAATATTACAACCACATTATTAATGCTGATTCTAATATTACTATAAAAACAATTAACGACAATCATTTAAATTGTTATCGTAAATTTAAATTGATTATAATAAATTTATATACTTTATTTTATTATTTGAATATATTAATAATATTTGATCCTAATTTTAATAGTTCTCTATAATTTTCATAATTATAATTAATGAAACTATACATATCATTATCATAATACATGAATTACTACAATAATATCAATGAAACTATAATAAAAATAAACATATATTGGAATATTTATAATTAGAAATATATAATTATAATATTCGTGACAAACAAAACATATTTACTTTGCTATTACTTTATTAGTAATATGTTATAACTACTAAAAACATCCTCAAATTAAATTGGTCTATTAATTATTTTTTAATTGTAAATTTTAATATATAACTATATTTAATATGACCTATAGTTTTAAAGATTTTGAGTTTTTGAAAGCATGGTAATAAAATTTGTATATTTTGAAATAAATATTAAAAAATAACATGCATGTAGCATTTTCTTTTATAGAAGATGCCTTTTTATTACATACTTGTGTGATTAGGATCAAGCTTAGAATGTGAATAGGCCTGTGTAAATGTTTTATTCCAAAAACCATTTTAATTTCAATTTTCAAAATTTAGAGTTCAAGATCATCCTAAGAAAAATAGAGTTCAAGATCTATTTGAACTTGGATGAGAGTTAATTATAATATAGTTAAGGATTCAACGCTTACTATTAATTTTAACTTTAAATTGAAACATTGGAGGAGACCAATGGTAAGTATATTTAAATTCACCCGGTAACAATGCCGATATTCTCTCTGATATTCTTTCTCATATAAGTTAAATCCATCTTTGTTCTTTTTCATGGTGAATGAGGCTTCATAACTATCTCTACTTCACCACTTGAAAATTAATTTTCATAATATAAAAAGTCACATCTGAAAATGCTAATACATGAAATCCTACGTTAATATTGCAATAATTAATATAAAAATTCACATATGAAAATGCTAATACATGAAATACTACGTTCATATTGCAATAAAATTAGAAAAATTATATAGATATATCCATTATATTTACCGTTACTACGAAAATACTTATAAATTTTCTTTATTTTACCTATATCTTTTGGTTTTTCAAAAACCAAAATCCCATTTAAAAAGTTTCCAACAAATACTGAATTATGGCAACCCCTGTTTGCAGTGAGGTGTGAAGCAGTGTGAAACTTCCAAGACTTGAGAGTATCTTGGAAATCTACATAAAGAAATTCACATCCGCAAGAAACTCAGTTGTTTCTTATAAGCCACCCGCAAGAAACTCAATTGTTTCTTATAAGGATCTGTGAGCCACCCAAACCTATTTGAGCGGATCTATAAAAATATTCTAATCTTGAATTTTGATGGTTTAAACAATATATTATCAACAAGCTTTCTATGCTTCGATACAACATAAAAGTTCTATCTTCCCTTTATCCAATCGTTCATTTTGAATGGAGAGTTAAGATTGCTCCAATCACAATGTCACGTCTCTACACTATTTTATTTTTAATCTTTTGTTTATAAACTATTTTGACACCAAATTCTTCACATTCATTCCTCTATTAAACTCACACTAGCGAAAAATATAAAAAAATATTTGCAATAAATAAAATGACCAAAATACCCCTAAAAAGTTTTAAAGGGTATTTTGGTCATTATATTTTCTCAAAAAATTATTTTAAATATTTTTTATAGGTGCGCCGCCCTAATGAGAAGATGGTACGTACCAAATTTCATATTCATACAATTTGTACAAAAAAAACTAAAAATAAAATACTTTGAGACATCAGATCTAAGATCAAACGGTGAGTGGCTATCTTGATCAAAATTGGACGGCTAGATGGTAGGGGAGGATAGAAGTTCTGTGCTGCAGGAGAAGCATATAAACCTTTCCATGTATTATAAGATATACTAGTTTTAAAAATTTAATCTTTTTTTATATCCATAGCATGACGGCTGGACCAGGGCCAAGATAGGACCCACCTGGTTCAGCCTGCCTCTTATTCCTTTATCTATTTATTTTTATTTTTTAATTTATTACTATTGCCCAGCCAGTCCTGGCCCGACCCTTCTAGAGCCAGGGCCAGGGCTAGGGCTGGGCCTCGGCCTCTTTGGCCAGGTTCGGGAAGGGCCCCAGGCGGCCCTAAGGGAACATAATCAGGCTACGAAAACTCTCACAAGACTAGAAAAAATATATTTTTCTTTTGTTAGTAATTATGATTTCCTTGTACTTAAAGTAAATAGTATCTTTGTATATATATTTTTTTCTAAGTTGATTAGGACTACTTAAGAGTACTTTTTTGAAAATTTTATCAAAATACACCTAAGTTTTCAACAATTCAACACCTAATAGTCATCATATTTTGATGAGTATTTTGAAATTAAATCGAAAGTTATGGGACAATGTTAAATAGTTAATATTTTGGGTATATTTTGATAAATTTCCCTGAATTTTTCTGAGGTTGCCATAAAATTGCAAGTAGGGCTATATCTTTGTCATGACTGGTCCTGTTAAAAACTAGGCCTAACTATTTCCAAAAAGAAAGACTGTTTTAGATGTCCTCTTACTATTTCTCTTGCTCACATTCTCTGTCTGACACCCAAAACATATGTGCGCAAAAATTGGTAGAGTTCTTGATCCACTTGTTTAACTTGATACCAATTGCAAAGGCCAAAGCCTAGTTAGGAGAGACCACTTAAATAATTATATTCATTATTTTTAAGTGAACATTAAAGGAAATGGGTCTGCTGCCTATGCCAAGAATAGAACTTTCAGATATCTGCGCCGCGCCCTTCCACCTTAACCACCTAGCCTTAAGCCTAGTCCTAACACTGGTCTTGTATGTGAGAGAGAAGTGTATCATCCTTTATTTCTTAGATGAAGGTTTACAACATTTACTTTAAAACCCGAGTCGACCAGGAAGTTTGGCCATCAATTGCACCATTGTGGATTAGCACAATCAGTTGATTTGGATTTGGTATAATCGGCAATCCAACAAAAACAAAAAAGAAAAATTTTTATGGAACGGTGTTTTTTATAGTTTTTATGGTGATTTAAATTTTTAAATAATCACCATCATAGTATTTTTCCAAATAATTTGGGACGGCTAGCGAGAGAAAGACCCTGATTAGAGGGACGAAAATCTGGTTCAGAGAGAGGGGTCTGGTTAGAAAGAGAAAGACCCTGTTTAGAGGGAGAAACAAGAAACCAGTGGTCTTTGTAAGTAAGCGAAGATGTCTCTGAGAGTGCTAAACCCTAATGCCGAGGTCCTCAACAAATCTGCTGCTCTCCATATGAACATCAACGCGGCTAAGGGTTTACAGGATGTTCTCAAGACCAACCTTGGCCCTAAGGGCACCATTAAGATGTATGTATCGTCGTCATCATGCTACGTCCCCATGATCATCGTCTTTGTCATCACCAATACTATTGTTCTGGTTTCTGTTTCAGGCTTGTTGGAGGAGCTGGAGATATCAAGCTCACGAAAGATGGAAACACACTCTTGAAGGAAATGGTCAGTTCAGTTTAAAAAAGAAATGAAATTTGCATTGATTTTAGGGTTTAGTTTATTGGCTCTACTTTTCTATACAAATGCATAGATTTGGTTTGTTGTCTTGTTGGTAATCATTCAAGGTAACTGTCTTCTGTCATTTTTCTAGGGTTTCTGTTACATGTTACAGAGATCTCTGCTATTCGATTGCAAATTTGTCAAATGATGCATTCTCAAAGTAATCTTTCGAGTTGGTTGTGATCTAGATAACATGTAATGAATTATATAATATGTCTCTCTGAAATTGTTGCATAATTCCGAAACTTGAGTGGGTTTAGGTGAAGTTTAAAGTTTGCATTTATGATGTTTATGGATACTCTTTGCTAGTTTCTATCTCTGGATTTGATTTGACAAACCGTTTTCTTTGATTATCAAATCCAGGAAAATGCTCTACTCAACAAAGACAAATACCTGAAACGAAAACTTTACAAGATGGTTTTATCTATTGACTGCCCATGTATCATATACTTTGGGAGAATCAATATATTCTTGCCTTTTTGTTCCCTCTTCTGTGAATTTTTTGATCATGATATTTCATCGGAGAGGCCTTGAAGTGCTGCTTCTTTAATTGACATACTATTTCTGTGATTTGTGGGCCCAACTACGATGCATTGATCGACTTATGATTTTGACTTGTCTGAGAGTTTCGTTGCTTTTTGGGGAAGGCAGAACAGAAGCTGAGTAAAAGACCATTTATTGACATGACAAGGGCCGTTCCATGTTAGCAATCAACTGTTCTTGGACATAATATGTTGGCTTTGTAGTAATCAACTGTTATTTGTGAGGGCTTGGAGTTCATTCTTTAAGTGTTAACACATCTTTGCACTTGTCATCTCTGCTCTAATTTTTGACATCCTCACTTACCAAGGGGAGACTTCTTGTGTGTGATTGATATTAAGCTCTTATTTTCTGTTTCTTGATCAGTCATTGACATTATGATCTGTTGATATAGATGTTGATGCTATTGTAAATCAGCTGTTCTGTCTTCTTTTGTAAATCATTGAAATGCTATTCAAGCTTGGGAATGGTAGTACTTGGGCTTTGTTATTTGGCTTTGATTAGTTTTATTATTGTTTTTTGTTTTTTTTGCAGCAAATTCAGAATCCTACAGCAATAATGATTGCAAGAACAGCTGTTGCCCAAGATGATGTAAGTGGAGATGGTACAACATCCACTGTGCTCTTTATTGGTGAGCTTATGAAGCAATCAGAACGCTATATTGACGAAGGTTAGTTATTTTCACCAATTTCTGTGTTGCATCACGCTGTAGCACATGTTGGTTGACATGCTCTTCTTTTTCCCTCACCTATCCCATGTTCTTGGGTGAATAATATGGTATGCATTTCTTTGCTTGGATTGACTCTCGATAGTAGTGTATTAAGTTATAGCTATATATATGAGGGGACTTTCTCATGTGACATGTATTTATGCATAGGTATCTGTGAATGTACCTTGTGTGTATATTATAGACACTTGAGTTTTTCTATTTGGAGCATAGGTGTACTCTGATGCTTGTGTGCATGGAAAAACATGTGCATGCTTCAATTAAATAATGTCTTAGAAGTTTCAACTCATTTAAGGGGATCCATGATACCATATCTTACTTAATGAATACGTTATCAATTTTTTTCTGTCTTACCAAAGTGTGTCAAACTGGGGAATCATGAAGCAAAAGCATCATATCTCCTCGTATTTCCTCATTTCTGAGTAAAAAGGAGTGTGAAGAACCAATAGAAGTAATGCAGGAAAACTATGTATTACTAAATCTCATGCTATTGGTGCCTAAGTTCTTCTTTGTGGTGTAACTTGTTACTCACTCATTTGGAGAGCTGATGCATTGGTGTAGCTTCTTTTGTTATTAATTAGTGTTCTGTTAGTTCTTGTTGTTGTTGTTGTTGTTGTTATTATTATTATTATTATTTGGATGGGTATTTCTGTTCTGGTTTTCACTTTTTCATTCTATTTTCTCAGGCATGCATCCGCGTGTTTTGGTGGATGGTTTTGAAATTGCCAAGCGAGCCACACTGGAGTTTCTTGAAAAGTTCCAAACCCCTGTTGTGATGGGCGATGAACCTGATAAAGAGATTCTTAAGATGGTTGCAAGGACAACACTCAGGACAAAGGTAGTTGGATTTATTCAGCTGTGTTATTTATATGATCCCACTTGCAATATGGGCAGCATAAATATTCTTTGCTGACATCCTTGTATTGGTTTTCTTCGTTCTCACTCCTACAGCTATATGAAGCTCTGGCTGATCAGCTGACTGACATAGTCGTCAATGCAGTGAGTGGCTATTAAAGTTATTTGAAATACTGCTGTGTCATTCTCTTTGTGATGGTGCAAAATAGTTTACTAGCAACTGAAGCATTCTTTCAGTTGGAAAATTCTATCTTGTTGAGTCTTGAAGTGTCACCTAGTGTGCTCCCCCATTCATCTCTACAATCACAAAAAGAAAGGAGAAAAGAAATCATGGTTTGAATAGAGCCTTTTACTTTTCTATGGGTGTCCTTTCATATAATCACTGTATTTGCTGTATGGATGTTGCAATTTTGTGTGGCTGATTGCCTCAAAAGTAAAAATTTGTGTGGCTTCTTGTTTCCTTTGGGTTTTCAAATTTAGTGGATTTGTTTCTGCCCTTTTTAATCTGACATGTACATGTGTGCTACAGCGCAAAAAAAATGTCTGCTTGTTGTTACCTGTATTTATCTACCTATTGTGCATGATTTAAGTGATCATACATAGACAGAATTTTTAAGCGGAATAGCAGAATTTTTAACAACTGAGAGGCTTACATAGAGAAACTGGACAATCAGCTGGTAGCGATTATTTTGAACTTCTGCAACTGGAAACAAATCGTATGTCTCAGGCCTGAGAACAAGAGTCGGACTGGCCACTGGTTACATCCGGGGCAAGCAAGCATCGAGCTAAATTTCAATGGATGCTCCCTTGGCAACCCTTAGCAAGCAGCTATTGGGGGTATTATCCAAGATAGTGCTTTCTTATTTGGGTCCTATTGGAGTTGCGACTCAGCCACTGCTGTAGTGAGTCCCTCTAAAGGTCCTCAGAAAGTTTGACAACAGATGGGGTTCCACCCTTGTATTGGAAAGGGATTGCCAAAATGTTATTTCATGGGCATCCTATCCGGATTTCGTGCCATGACTGCTTCTGTTCTTTGAACAATATGAGGAAATCAAGATTAGTTTTAAATGACTTTCAAGCACATATAGAGGGAAGCGAACAGGAAAGCTGATGGGTTGGTAAAACAGGGTGCCTGGCCCACCTAGCTCCCTGTCCAAATGCTAAACATGTTTATTATCATGCTAGTAAACATGTTTAGCATGATGTTTTTTGCCCCTTCTCAACCCATGTCTCCTCTATCTTTTCACATCCCTTCGGTGTCCTTGTCTCTCACATCACCCACCCGTTTTTCCCATTAAATCTTGTTTGTTGTAATGGTGATCGTCCTTGCTGACCAATCTGATATATCACCACCCATATTCTGGGTTCCTCTTGTTCTCTCACTTTCTCTTCACCTAATTTTTTCTCACTCACTTAGCAAAAATAATCGTGATGTACAGCCTATATAGAACAGCAACCCCTTGAGCACAATTTACAGACACAAAAGTACTGTTTTTGTAAGCATAAATTTCATATATTACAATGAAGTCACCTTTTGTAAGAAGAAGTAATAACACATGAAGTGATGTATGGAACTTTCAAAGAGATCTCTTCGTGTATGATGCAGCTTTAAGAACCAGGTTTGAAAACTCAGCCGAGTCAACTTGGATTTGGCATAGTTACTTGGCCTTGGGTGGTAGCTAGGGGGAGTTCCCATGTACCTTCTGGGGTACATGGAAAGTTGGAAACCGTTTAGAACTAGGGTGGGTAATATATGTTCTTGTCTATTGATAAAGGAAAGCAAAAAGGGGGCCGGATTTTGGCCTCCATTTTTCATCTCTCTCTCTCTCTCTCTAAAAGGGAGGCATAAATGCGCCCACCTATTTTCATCTCTCTCTCACCCCTCTCTCTCTCTCTTTCTAAGGGGGGTGGAAATGTGCCCTCCGATTTCATCTCTCTTTCTCTCTCCATCTTTCTATCTAAAAGGATGGAAATATGCCCCCAATTTTCATTTTTCTTCTCTCTCTGTAAGGGGGCAGAATCCCCCCCCCTTTTTCATCGCTCTCTCTCAGAATCGGGGCAGAAATCCACCCCCAGTGTTCATTTCTCTCTTTCTCTATGTAGCAGAGTGTCTCCCTCTCTTTTCCCAAATGTCCTCTCACTCTTTCCCCAAATCTCTTTCCCCTTTTTCTGATCCTTTATTGAATTTTTGGGATTTTTATTTTATTTTTTGCTTTTTTTGAGGCATTTTAAGGACTGTACCCTACTCGGATGAGACAACTTGGATATGCTTGGGTTACTTGGCTTGGGCAGGGGCTTAGTCTTGAGCCCAAGCTGAGCATTTAAACCTTGCCAGAGACACATGTATCTACATCACACTGAGATGTGCAGTGATGGCAAAGTGTTGATGAATAAGGACTAATTTAATTTGCACACACATGCAAAAAGAAAGGGATTGGGGGGAAGGGAGCGGACAACATGAACAAAAAGTAAATTATGTGATCTGAAGGATGTGTTAGTGAGAGGTTAAAATATTGAAATTGAAATTTTGGATGGTGAATCCCAACAAAACTGAAAAGAGTTCGATGACAATGGTTGAGACGAGGTAAAATAATTAAAAAAACACAATAAAGTGAAAAGTTAGTCATGGGAGTTTTTGGGGGCTATAAGTTTTTTTGGAAAGTTTACCTAATATTGTGGCAGACTCAAAGTTAGATTTCGTAAAAAATTGTTGAAGTAGTCAGTTAAATTTATGGAAGGTTTCTGATTGTAATTTTTAATTGATTAAAAAATTTTATATGAGAAGAATTAAAATTTTTGTTTAGTTTTCGTGATAATTTACTGTCAAGTTGCATTGTTGTGATTGTGCATTGGAAGAAGATATTAAATGTTCTTTTTTGCCCATGATTAAAAATCTTGTTTTCCACATGATGTTGCATATTATATTGTCACCGTTATAATGAATTTTCTATGGATGTAGTTATATCTCTTCACCTCAGGCATTTAATTATTATTTGTATTTTGAGGTCTCTGGTCTCTTGCTCGGTCACTCCATCTCATATGCTAGTGCCTTTGATCCCAATGTGCTTCTGCAATGGAGTATCAATGTTGCTATAACATTATGTTCCTTGCAAAGTTGCTGAATTTTTAATTCTAAGAAGTTTGACTCCATTCTTTATACATGTATTGTATCATATGGTTTATAGTGAGCTACAACTCCTTTCTATTAACTTTGGTCTTATTTGCATCCTTTAACTATTATTTTGGATCTCAATAGGTGCTTTGTATTCGCAAGCCCGATGAACCCATTGATTTGTTCATGGTTGAGATTATGCATATGCGCCACAAATTTGATGTAGACACACGCCTGGTATGTTACTTTTAATTTGCTGTCATTTGTTGGTGCACATGTCTCAAGCTTTAGATGCTCTACATTTACATTATTAGTCAACAGGTGATGGCGGCTTTCTTTTTTCATGCTTTGATCTTTGAAAATGCTGTGAGTTGTTTGAGCATGCTCAAGAGTTGTTCAATCTTTGAAAATGACTTCCCTTATTTTGGCATTTAGAGGGTTTGGAAGGGTGACGAATGATTGCTTGTTTCCCACGTCAGTAGTGTTGTACAACTGTTGATCTAGGTGATCTGAAATGAAGTAAGGGTAAGGGAGACGTACACATTTATTCTTCACCCAAGAAGGATTAGTTGATTGTCTGCAACATTTTATTGGAGAAAAGCGATTACCTATTGGACTTCCACTATTTTAAGAGTCATTCCATTAAACCTTCGAGTAGTTGATTGTGGCAGTCAGTAATCATGTTTACAATTGTTTTATGAAGAAAGGGAACTCAATTATTGGTTGTTTAGTTTCTGGTGAAATGGCTAAAAACCGGTGTTCAAAAACATAAACTTGATTAAGGACTCAGTCCTTGCAAAAACTAATTTGACTCTTCAAGTCAAATAGTTAACTCAAAAAAACTTGATGGATTTTCCAATTGTTCACTTGAAGCAAATAAAGCTGTCTGTAATGGAAATCGAACCCAGCTTGTCTCCTACGACGTTAACAATGCTGCAACATTCAAGAAAATCATGTATCAAATGCATGTAGAAAATTACAATTCAAGAGAATCATGTATCAAATACATGTAGAAATTACATGCAAGGAAAAATTAGCTCATACCGAGTTTTTCATTCATAGAATTCTCATTGGACGAGCGGAATTAACTTAGGGGAGTTTTCCGACACAAGACGAGTTTTTATTCTCTACTAGAAACTTGCTCTCTCATGTAGCACTTAGGTAGTGTGGAGTGTAAAGGAGATCGGATGTGTCTAAACCTGGATTTTTTTTTTCTTATTCTAATTTTCATGTGAAGAAACCTTATGAAGCCCCATGAAAATTTACTGAAGTATATTTAGTATCAGGGTGTTGAGTTTTGGTTGCTTCGATTTTTAGGGAAGTGCATGCATGTTGTCTAGTGTTGTGGATATGTTTGGTGCGTATAGCAAAATTAGAAGCATGGAATTTGAGAGCATTAGCCGGTATGCAAGATGGAATCATTTACCTATACTTGCGACAATTGTGCATAAAACTTTGGGCCTGAACTGAAGGGTATCTTGTGGTATGCCATAACTTCAGCCTTGGAGATCCGTGATCCAACCCCTTTCGTAGTTTCTGCACTGCTGCTAGTCATAATTGCCTTAGAACCATATTTTAGTCCCCACTCAAATGTGACCTCCTTGCCATGCTATACCCCTCACTGTTGATCAAATTCACTAGGCATGAATATATTTGTTGTGCAGAAGCTTCTTGAGAATCTCTCAATTTGGAAATGTAAATTTTTGTTTAAACTAATGTATTGCTTGATGGGTTTTGGAGTATTACTTGCTTATGTAAAAAAGATCCATCCTGGTGCTTACGGTTTAGATTGTCCATTTCTCTCAAATATTGATAATTGTTTTCTTCTCTAAATAATTTTAGTTCTCCCTTTGCATCCATGAGGGCTTAGGATTCAATTCCACACCATCATTTGCTATTGACTAAAGGTTAATATTTATCATGATTCCTTCCATTATTTGCCCAATGAGGATTTGATTTATTTGAAGTAACCTTTGTTTTCGCTATGTTACTCATTTTTGTTATTTTTGTGAAGTTGTTGAATTTTTGGCCTTCACTATTATGGATAGACTTTTTGCCTTTATATGAAATTTGTTTGAATTCACTAGACTTACTCTTTCCACTTTTTGGCCATTGTTATTTTGCTAGGTGGAAGGTCTCGTCCTTGATCACGGATCCAGACATCCAGATATGAAGAGGCGTGCTGAGAATTGCCATATTTTGACTTGTAATGTCTCATTGGAGTATGAGAAGAGGTCAGTATAGACTTGATAGTGTGTGCAAGTTTTTGGTAGAAGAGCATGCAATGTTTTTTTTTGCTCTGGAAATGTAGAGCATGTATAAGTTTTTAGAAGGATGGTTTGGGCATGCCATGCTTGCGTTAAATTAAATTTGTTTTCTTTTGGTACTATTATCTGAAATCATTTTCAATTTATAAACTCCATCTAGAATAAAAATTGTAGTTTTTGTTCTCATAAATTATCTTTGTCCATCAATGAGCAGTTGGAAAAACAATGTTTCTTGAATGGAGCTTGTTATATATATTAAATACTTAATTTCTATTTAGCGCAGTAAACCAGAGACAATGGAATCGTCATCATCTGCAGAGCTTTTTCCCAACTATTTGGGGTCGGCTACACGAATCCTAGAGATTCAAAATTCATGGATAGATTTGGCAAAGTTGTATGTTGGCTGCCTACCTTACACAACCCACATCCTTTATCAGGCTTGGGACAAGTTAAGGGAAAGTTTAAGATCCTCACCCTTCTTAGACCAAGAAATATACATAAAGTAAAAGTCCACGAAAAGAAAACACTAGGACCTTGGAGGGTGCCCCAAGCTGGCAGCGTCAACTCTGAATAACGCATCCCCCTTTGTGTTAGCTTCCCACCAAATATGATGGAATCCAACGTGAAGATGCTTACACAGGTAAAAGATGCGGTAAAAAATGGGGTCTAATCTCAATGGACTCATATTCAATCTTTTGACCCTTGGATGATGTTTGTGTTATCACCTTCCACTAGCAGAGATTCTCCACAACCTGAGACCTTCCATAAGTGCATTGGCTTTGGCCTTGGTAGAATCACCTAAGCCAAGGTAACCAGAGAAAGAAAAAGAGTTTGGCCATTGATGTTGGAATAAAATTGTGAAACCACCATGGCCGGGGTTTTTGAGGGAGTTATCAAAGTTCAGTTTAATGGACCTCTTGATTGGTGGAGCCATTAGGAAGAGCAAGAGGTCTAGGAGTTCTCAAGCTAATGATACTTTCCTAGTGAGAGAAAAAGTCTGTCTTAGACAGTAGAGATGTTTTAGGGGCTTAAAATTGGCGGCCCAAAAATAGTAAGATTGCGAATGCACTGTGAATTTCCCTCTGAAGATCCTCAAATTATGGTCGCCGCATAATGTTCATAATATCACCATTAGCAAACGTCTCCAAAGGAAAATGACAGCCTTCCGAATGAATGATGGGGAGATAAAAAGTTGGTTAATTGAAGGGGTTACCCAGGTTTGGTTGCAGAGCACAAGTTTGGTTGGTGAATCTTTAAAGCACAAAACAGTACAGTTTGGTGAACCAAATGAAAATAACTCATATGAAGCACATGAATATGACCATGTAGCAATGTATAATGGGACAATTTCTTAAACACTTTTGTCCAATACTCAAGTAAATGATTCTCAAATGGCCACAAAATACTCACTGGTTCTCATGAAAGAGTGCAAAAAATCTCATAAAAAATCAGGTGCCCAAAGCTTTAAAGAAGCTGATGTCTTATAGAATGGTCCAAGGACTAGACTATGCACGCTATATAGCGTACATGCATAGTATAAAAGGGTAACCAAAAACGAAAGAGAATAAGATGAAGATGTTGCTGTAACGGATGAACTACAACATGTAAACTATAAGGTAAAGGCTCAAAATAGGAAGGAAACGGTAGGGATGATTACCTTAGATCATGAGGACTAGACACCTTAGAGCTTAGCATGCACCACCTTGTTCATGAGGTTTCACCAAGGGAAAGCGGAAGAAGCTTAATGGATGAAAGGAAAGAACGCACTAGGAGGGGCATGAAGGTTACAAGGTTCCACTCTTCTTTCTCTCTCTAAGATGGTTCACAAGTGTATTGAAAATGGGGGTGAGCAAGGGTTTGTATAGAGTTGTAGCAGTGAAATATTTGTAAGTGAATGAATCTAAGCCCTTGATGCTATTCATTTATGGCACATGTGAGGGATGTGATCCTAACCACACATTCATGCCGAGCCATCAAGATCAATGGATGTGATTGGCACACCATTAGCACTTCATAGAACTCTTGATTAAGCCATTTTACCAAACTGTCCTTGTTCCATAAAAAATTTCTGCATATGCCATTTACTCATTCCATAATTGTCTATAGGACTTTGTGAAAATATAAAATGCCACAAGGATAGGGGCGCCCTTATGATAATTTAGAAAAGATATTCCAACTAGGATAATATGTCATAGACAAGCCAATCACAATTTGCCATTTTATAGAATTCACATGGGGTTAGCCAATAGAATCAAGCCACTTACAAAGGCAGATCAAGGAACGACTTCCATTTTAATACTTAGGGTTTAGATCATAATTTCATAGCTAGTCTCAACCTAGGCACATCTGTTCCATCTCATGTGTGGCAAAACTCCCTGGGATAACTAAAACATCACATGTTATAAAACATACTTTTATTACAAACCTTATAACTTAATGAACCAAACACCTAATACCAAATGATGGTTGCAAGTCCTATCTGGTGACTGAGGGGGAGAATTCCCTTGGCTTGATGTCTTGTTCTGCCATAAGCTTTGATATTGAGTTCCAATGATTCTAGAGCTTTTGGCTTTATGCATACCCTCTCCATAAATAAGGTCATTGGCTTTAGAATTGATAACCTTATATGTGGATGCTATTCTAGTAGCTTGTAGCACCTTAGACCTAATAAGGAAAACAAAGGCATTGCTATGAAACAACTTTGACGTGAAGGACATAGGAGAAGTTTCATGTGTTGGGAATCCATATAATACATGACAAACCAGCCCGTACTATTCAATTATCCTAATCCTCATATTGTAAAATGATTCTTGAGAGATTCGGGATGAGTGAGTGCAAGCCTATTGATACACCCGTTGAGAAAAGAATAAATTAAGTATCAATACGAGCGTAAGAGAGGACAATGAGAGAAGTGAGTTGGAAAGAGTACACCATATAGGAGTGCGGTGGGTTCACTACTGTATGCAACCATGGGTACAAGGCCTGACCTAGCTTTTGCTCATAGCTTAATAGGGTGTTTTCAAAGTGACCCCAAAATTGAACATTGGAAAATCGTTAACAAAATCATGAGATACTTGAAAGGAACCATTTATTGTGCCTTGACCTATGAGAATGTGAGGGAGTTAAGTGTTTTGGGTTACTTTGATTCCGACTACCAAGGAGATCTGGATGACTTCAACATTAGGTTATGTTTTCATATATGGGGGTGGTGCCATATCTTGGCGCACCAAGAAGCAAGACATAGTGGCTCTCTCTACTATAGGAGTCGAGTACGTGAAATTATGATCTGCATCCAAGGGAGACATGGATAAAGAAATTTCTCAATCATCTCCATCACATCCAGCACAATGGCATAAGAGCCTAGGTTCCATAACAAGTCAAGGCACATAAGGGCACATTATTATCATGTGAGAGTTGAAGTTGAGGCAGGTGAGGTAGATGTGGCTTATATTCTTATTGAGGCTATGCATACGGATCCCTTAACTAAAGGCTGGGCTACTAATGTATTAATGAAACTTGTACATGGTATGAGATCGAGGAGGTTAACATAGCTTGAGTATTTACTCTCTTGGAACATAGCGTGCGTATTTACTCTCTTGAGTATGTTATGAGTATATCGATATCGAGTATGTGAGTATGCTTGAGTATGTGTGAGTATGCTTGAGTATGTGTGAGTATGCATGAGGATAAGAGAGTTTTAGTGCATAAGACCTCAAAAGGTCAAGTGGGAAAATGCTGGATTTATGGCCTTTCAAGGCCTTAAAGCTAAGATTCTCACTGAGTGGGAGTGAGCGATTTTGAGTGCTTAGTACACTAAGGCCCAGAATCATATTCCCCGAGTGCATGAGGCAATGAGTGACATCTATGAGAGAAAGATACTTGTAGAGGTGTGAGGGTCACCTCTGAGTCAGGGCTATATCTAGAGTATGCCTCATAGTTGGTGTGTTGGCAAGGGCTAAGAGATATCAAAAAGAGAATATAGAACCCAATTATCTTTAGAGTAATAGTCCTGTATAGGATGGTCATGACTCAAGGGACATGAGTCCGTACCGTTACACAAGAGCACCCTATGACGTGCACTCACAGTTGAACGGGAAGCCACTCTTTTAATGTATGATCCTACGAAGAAGAGCTAGTACACATGTGCCTTGAGAGGAACCCTCTATGTGAGCACTCCGATGTTCCCATGGGTGCATCTGTAATCCATTGGGAATCGGGAGTTGGAATGCTTCAATGGAATGACTTCGGCAAAGCCAGATTATGTGTCCTTGCCATAGATTGTGGAGCATAGGCGTGTTGGGTCATTTTGAGATAAGTGGATCACCATTCCGTACTAGCCTAGTGGAGTACTCCAGTACCTGGATTTCAGCCTAGAGATCTCATTTACCAATTGTCCGATTTTATCATGACGAGGAAATGAGTATTTTTGATGGAGAATCATTTAGAAATTTTTTTTGATTTTTTGGGGCACAAAAATGATATTTTATAAATTGTTTGGGGCAAATTCCAAAGGACAACAAATGAGGGTGTCCACGTGGCACCCCACCAACCCACCTTACTGCTGATGTCAGCATGACATTAAAACAAGGGGGTTTGTCCTTGGTTGGAATTGGTGAATTGTTCATTTAATTTATATGGTTTTTAATAAAATCTTGTTTTATAACATGTGTTCTTTTATTTATTCCATGGAGTTTATTCATACATGAGGGATGGAAACATGTGTCTAGAGTTGATGCTAGCCATGAAATTATAATATAAACCCTAAGTATTAAGTGAAAATTGTCCACCTTTTGTTGGTGACTTGATTCTATTTGCTAAGCGTATGTGAATTCCATGAAATGGTACATTGTGATTGACTTATCTATTGGATATTATCCTAGTTAGTATTTTTATCAAAATTGTCATAAGAGCATGCCCCTAGCCTTGTGGTGTTTTAACATTTTCATAGATTCTTATGAATTATTATATAATGAGTAAATAGCATATGATGAAACTTTTATGCAACAAGGACAATTTGGTAAATGATTTGATCTAGGGTTTTGTGGAGTGATAATGGTTCGCAAATCTCATCATTTGATCTTTATAGCGAGGCATGGATGTGTGGCTAGGATCATAGACCTCCCATGTGCCATTGACGAATAGCATCATGGGCATAGATTCATTCACTCACAAATATCTCACCACTACAACTCTATATAAACCCTTGCTCAAGCCCATTTCCAGCACATGTGAGCTTAGAAAGAGTGAGAAGCGAGAGAGTAACCTCCATGCCCTCTTATTGAGTTCTTTCCTTTCTTCCATTAGTTTACAATTCTCTAAAATTAAAATATTGTTATTGTGGTAGTAACATAGTAATAGAGTAAAATGATTCAGTACAAATTTAAAAATTTTATATTATTTTTAATTTTCATTTTGTTTGTATCTTTTTTTCTTATTTGTGCTAGTCTTTCGAGTGGTTTGACTCATTAGTACTAGATTGGTCTTTTCTGTTCCAATTTAGTGGCTATTCTTATTTCAATCACATAGATGTCTTTATGCAATACATTTTATTGATGAGCATGTTAGGAGTACAAGAGGTGAGTTGCAATTATTAAGTAACTATGGAAGGGGTTTCCCGATATTTTGAACTTCACTGATTGCTTGTATTCTGGTTAGAAGATCCGAATTGCACTCGAATTGCCATTTTTGATGGGTCTTGCAAGTTAGCAATGCCATTTGTAACATGCTCGGAATGCTGAACACTAGCCTTATCCCGTGAGGATTGATTTCTACATGTGAATCATCCATTGTTCTCAACTCATCCCTAGCAAGCAGCCTTCTTGTTACCTAGCTGGTCCAAGTACCTCTAAATATCATACTGTTTTACTCACTTAATTAGATAAGTGGGCTGTTGGCGCTTGGGTTTCTGTTCACCCAGAAAAGTGCTCCACAATTTCTGGACATTTTTCTCATGGAAATCATGAGTTCTGGCTTCTGTTAATTTACTACACGTCCTCGAATTTCGAGAATTTTCTTTTGTTTGCTTTTTATGATCAAGACATAGTTGGTCTTTTTTTGAGGGCACAAGCTGTGCCTTGTTTAAATTTCCTTAGATCCATGTTTATGCTCTGACACCATTTCTTGTCTTTCATTTGAATGCCGTGTCGTGTGCCAGTGAAATAAATGCTGGTTTTTTCTACTCAAATGCGGAACAAAGAGAAAAGATGGTTGCAGCTGAGAGGCGTCAAGTTGATGAGAGAGTTAACAAAATCATTGAGCTGAAAAATAAGGTTACTTTGAAATTATTTCTGTCCATTCTTTTAACTCTTGCTTTTTACAAGGAAAATTCCTTAATTTTTCATAGGTACCGTAATCATTACTTGATTTTGGTCTACTGCAGGTTTGTACTGTGACTGATGATAACTTTGTTGTGATCAATCAAAAGGGTATAGATCCTCCATCGCTGGATCTTCTCGCGAAGGCTGGAGTAAGTCCATTTGTTTTTCTTCAACCCTCCATTATATCTATTCTTTCTATTTCTCAATTTATGGATAAATAATGTCAATCTTGGTAAAATAGGTTACAAAATGAAAAACTTTGCTGGTGAAACTCGTGATTTTCTCAAAGGCATTCATTACGATAATTAGTGTAGTCAAATATATACTCAAGTATGTTTATGACATATTGCTGTTTCTATTGAGTACGTGTTTTACAAGGAAGATTAATTTCTTTTCTGTGTTATTTAAGGCATCTGAGAAAGGTTTATTTATTTTTATAATTACATGGTAAATGGGAAAACATGGATGCGTTCATATTTACATATTATTATTCTGTCATTAGTTTTGGAAAGCCCTTATTATCTACTGCCTTATAGATGGTTGTTTTCATTAGACTGTTTGTCTTCTACCTTATAGGCAAGTTATAGACATTCTAATGTTGATAAACAAAATAATTGAATGTATCCTATGTTTTTGGGGGAAAAAGGTGGACCCTCAAATTACTTGTTGAACTTTCCCGTAACAACTATTGCCCGACTGCTTCAACTGAAGATCAATTTTCATTTTTATATGGGGCCAACTGCCGAGTTTCTGTTTTTTATAGATTATTGCTTTAAGGAGAGCAAAAAGGAGAAATATGGAGCGCCTTGTTTTGGCCTGTGGGGGAGAGGCAGTCAATTCTGTTGATGACTTGTCTCCAGAATGCCTTGGATGGGCTGGCCTTGTTTATGAGCATGTCCTTGGTGAGGAGAAATACACGTTTGTAGAGAATGTGAGGAATCCCTCCTCATGTACCATCTTAATCAAAGGTATGTCTATCTTCTCCTCAAATTTTTTTGAAAAGTGACTATCTTCTTATGCAGGAGACCAGGCTTTTATTCCTTTGATGTTGAACTGTGTCTCCACATCTATTAGTGAGCCAATTATTCCAGGAATCATCCTCCAAACTGATGTTCCTTGTAAAGCTTTATACTGCATGACTGAAATTGTGAATTATGATGTTTTCAGGGCCAAATGATCACACTATTGCTCAGATCAAGGATGCTGTTCGTGATGGTCTGAGATCTGTAAAAAATACAATTGAAGATGAAGCGGTAATTTTGGTGAGCATCGCAACCTCAATGCACTTAATATGATATATTCTAAAAGCGAATAGAATTTGCTGTCTTCTTTGTGTTTGATTATCAAAACTAGGAGTGATAGCTCCTAGTTTGGGTTGAAGATCTCTAACATCACATGCAAAAGAAGGGTCTTATTTCATGCTACATATTTGTAAAGGAAATCCTTCTTCATCGTAGGAAATCAACCATATGTTAATTTCAATCCAGATTGTGATCCCCTAATGTAGTTGGGGAGATTGTTCAAAGGGAAAAGCCCTATCACTTATTTTCTTTTGTCTTTTATGTTAGCAAGTTTTTAACTTTCAGCTTTTTGCACTAGACTCTCTTATAATTTATGGTCTGATAATCCAATATTTAGTAACCTGCAGTATTTTACGATAGGTAGCAGGAACGATGATCACTCCATTGTTTGTAGTTTATAATATTAGAAAAAGAATTCATTAAAAAATTGAGAATGGGCTCTAGGCGGAGTTGGTAATGGTGGCGGGTGCTATAACATGACATCTAGAGCTCCATTCTCATCAGGTCTCATGAGTTAACATTAAAAAAAAAACAAAATTGTAAAAATTGTAAAATGCCGTGGGGATGTAATTTTTTAAGCGTTTTCCTTTGTGTTTTTTTCCCCTCTTCTTTTCTTGAATACTACTATATAAGAAACGTAGCCATAAGAGAAATAGAAGTGAAAATTAATGGTGACAATTCTAAATTGTTCCAATCTGTGAAAAGCAAAATAAGAAGGAAAAAAAGAAAGTACTAGCTTTTAAGATGTCCATGAGAAATAGCTTGAGGTGCTCTTTTAAGTGTGATCCAAATACAGATGCACGTCGCTTATAATAACAGTAAATTTAAGTGAGGAAAGGCTATATGTTAGAACTTGTCTTGTTGTAATTGTTATTGAAAATGTGGTTTAAATACCGCTGAATTCTACTGGCTTTGAAGTAAGTCCTTTGAAATATCAATTATTAGAGAATATTTTTAATTTATAACCTCTTTTAAGCAATAAAAATCATGTGCAAGGAGAATACAAGTTATTAAGTGAAAGTTACAATTCTCTATTTAGGGTTATGGGATAGTCTTGTGGCAAATTTCAATAGGATAAAATTTGAGAATTTTGACCTTTTTTCCTTAGGAGTTGATCTTGGGGTTCGCCGTTTCCCCTGGAAGCTAGGTGCCCAGGAGAATGGATGCCCTGGAAATGGAGCCCTGGATGTTGGGAACCCTTGTTGGTAACTTTATTAGATTCCCTGGCGATTTCAATTTACCTTGTTTGGTTAAACCTTTGAAATTGGGTACCCATGGATATGAAAATTAGCCTGTTTTAAAAGTTTGTTACATAGTTTGTTGATTAGAGGATGATATTTGTCCATTTGATGAAAGTTTTTGTGTCATAACCTATCCGTAGCATTAGTAACACAATGGACAGTTCCGAGGAAAAATTCTTCATTCAATTAATCAATAACTTACTCTTTAACATGTGAACACACACCCTCTCTCCCTCCCATTTGTTGATTTTCTCGAGTCTCCTGTATAACTCCTATTTGCTTCTTTTTGAGGGAATCAAAGACATTATTCCAATATGACAAAAGGAAATGTCAACCCAGGCTATTATTTGTGTTATGGGGTCTCGGTAGCAAGTAGTGTTTTGTTATTCGTTAGACTTATTCTTAGGAGTATCAGATCCAAGGATGGGTTGATTATCTATCATATACTTTATGTGGATCTCACTTTATAGATAAATATAAATGAAAATGAGATGCAAAGAAGGGAAAACCCCTACAGATAGAGGTGAAAACGTATTGCTGATTGATGAATTAAGAAAACTTGAGTTTCAACATTCCTGCAAGAGTGACTTCTTAAGTTTTTTGACAGTTGAAATTTATTTTACTTCTTTTTGTCATCTAGAAGACATTAGTGTGCCTTTTCAAGGTTTAGCGTTCGATATATAGGAAAGTGACCATTGATCCTTCTCTCCCTCCTCCGTGATAGTTTATTTTCTTCTTGTTGTTAATTCGAAGCATCTTAATGCATTTGTGCCCCAAAACTTATAATCACAAACACTAATTTTGGGTCAATTAAAAAAAAAAATTCTTTAGAAACAAAGAATTGATTGCCATTGTCAATCACCACATAGATTAGTATCAATGTTTCATAAGGTGCTAGGCGGGTCTTAGGTGGCTTGGGGGTCCAGACTGCCCAATGCCTAGGCGGATGGTCTAGGCGGCCCAGTAGGAAAAAAAATGACTCTATAGTCTCTAACAGTATAAGTATAACTGTATATTGTATAAAATATAAGAATTAGGGATTAAAGGCACACATCAAAATTCAAAAGTATACTACACAACACATAGGAGCACAATTGAGTATAACCATAAGTCCATATATCCAATTAGAAATTATCGATAGTCTGATTGATAGTAAGTGTGGTCCACATTCCACACATAGACATAGTTAAAAGTTAAAAATTTAATCTAATATCAATAGGTGATGTTTTGATCAATTTCTTATAATTTTGAGAAATCCTTCGATCCTAAATCATCAAATACTAGTTTTTTTGGGGGTTTTTCTCTGTCTAAAATGGGTTTTAGGTTTCAAATAAACCTAAAACCCACAAATTTAACCCTTTAGTATAAAAAAAAGAAGACAAAAACTGCCCCTACCGAATGGGTTTTCTGCCTCTAGGTGGGGCACAGGCCCTTGGCGGCTGCCCCGGGCTGGGCGCTAGGCGCGGTGCCTAGGCGGGTTCCTAAGTGCCTAGGTGGCCACCTAAGGATTTCGGCCTTTTCTGGCGCCTGTGCCTGGGTGATGCTCCTAGGCCCTCTAGACCGCCGAAGCGGCTGCCCAGGATCTGGGTAGTCCATTTTTGAATCACTAATTAACATAGGTGATTACTGCTAATCCCCATATGGTGAGTCTAGGTATAAGCATTCAACAAAGTGGGCTGGTTTATTTGGGTCTCAAAATTATGTGCAATGTTAGTCCCTTCCAAAATCATCCATTTAAATGCTTGAGAGCTAGAGGGAGATGGAGCCAAAAGATACAGCCAAATGAAGTTTAGGCCGAACAACTAGGGGGCCTCCTAGGACAAATGTTGAGTCTTGAGACCCCAACACCTTGGGTCTCAGAGGACAATAATGGGCATGATGGAAGTATAATAATCTCAAATGTTGAAACTATGCATCCTTAGAGGAAATGAGGAGCTAGCCAATGTCATGCTTGGGTTAAGATTTTTGCATTCATTGTCAAAGCATTTCATACACGAAAGCATTATAGTTCACGAATTAAAAACGTAGAAGAACAAGAACAAAGCATAAATAGCATTGATGAACCAAAAAATGCGACTGATTATATGATCAGTATATCGAAAATTTTCAATATAATCAAAATTTTCAGTGTGTATAATCACACCATTATACTAAAAGTTCTCAGCTTATTGAAAATTCAGTATACAATATGTATAGAATTCTTTAGTATAATCACTATGAATTGTTCCAGTATAATCACCATAAGTAATTTCATTATAATTTTAAGAGATCTAATATGATCACTATATATTTTCAGTATAATCATTATAGCAATTTCAATATAGACAATTTTCAGTTTATATTATCAGTGAATGATCAGTTATAAATTTTTAATACTATTATAAATTTTTTAGTGCGATCACTGTAATTGAAATTTTCTAATACGATTTCAATTCAAAACTCTCATTTCAAATGAAAACCCTCATTTGGTAATTTTCAGTATTTTTCAAATCCCATTTCAAATCAAAACTCTCTTTTGGATACCTTACTTTTCAGCATAATCTACTGAAAATACAAAAATGCAAAAATCTAATTTTCAAATCAAAACCCTCTTGGAAATCCTAATTTTCAGTATAATATATTGTTTAAAAAAAGGGTATATAGTTTATATAGAGCAGTGGGTCTAAACAATCAAATAACAACCTACCTCAAAAATTTCACTAGAAGATGCCCAAATATTCTCAAATTAATGATCTTGACATCAAGATGCATGGACATGTGAAAAAAATGGATTTCAAGTTTTCGAAATAGTGTATTTATAACGCTTTTTTGGACTGTCCATTTTCAAGATTTTCAAGTTTTCATAGATTTGTCTTTCTACACTATTTTTGAAGCTTTAAACTTTATAAATAAAGATAAAAATATATTTTAAGGATGTCACAAAGATTTATAGTATTGAAACTACATTTCTTGACACTATTTGAAGGTAGGCTCTAATTTGATTGTTTAGAGCCTAGGCTCTATACAAACGGCACCCTTAAAAAAATGCAGCGTAACCTACTGAAAATAATTTCCAGTATAATCTATTGAAAATCACAAAAAAGGCAAAACCCTAACTTTCAAAACAAATGGAAACCTTAATTTTCTTTATGATCTATTGTTAAAAAAAATAATAATAATTTTCAGTGTAACATATGAAAAATTATAATAATGAAAGTCCTAATCTACTTAGAGAGATGGTGAGACCTGATAGAGAGAGAAATTGGCCACAGAGGGCAGAGAGAGAGAGAGCTTGGAAAGCTAGTCATTGTTTTACCTGTCAATGCTTATAAATTTGATATTTTCCTTTATGATTATAGTTCTTTATTGGCTTTACGAGACTTCAAATTTGATATTCACATTAATTCGGAAGTGATTGTATTTCCTTTTGGTTAATTACTATAAAATGAATGTGAATGGTGCTGAGACATGTTTCATTATATACTGGTGAATGATCCTTTGGCAGGGGGCAGGTGCTTTTGAAGTTGCAGCGAGGCAGCACCTAGTGAACAATATAAAGAAGACTGTCCATGGGGTATTTTCTCGCTCTTTACAACTACTTTTGAACTTGGATCCAAACCTCATAAAACTTGTTAACTAATGTCTTCTCAGGCCATGATCTTGGCATTTGACGTATTACCCACTGGCCTAGAATGTTGTTTTAGGTGAGAAATATGTTTCTGATCTTTTTCAATTCTTGGTACAGCGAGCACAGCTTGGGGTTGAGGCCTTTGCGGATGCGCTTCTTGTTGTACCCAAGACACTGGCAGAAAACTCAGGTCTCGACACACAAGACGCTCTCATTGGCCTTCAGGTCCATTCAAACATTGATGCCATCTCTCTCTCTCTGTGTTTGGTGGGGTCCGGGGAATGATTTGGGGGTGTGGGGTGCGTCACATTTTGGTTTGTATCTTTTGTTTATTGTGTTCTGGTTTTATCTAGGCTGAGCATGATAAGGGTAACATTGTGGGGTTGAACCATCACACTGGGGAACCCATTGACCCCCAAATGGAGGGTATTTTTGACAACTACTCTGTGAAGCGGCAGATCATAAACTCTGGGTATGATAATGTTTTTTTTTTTTCTTAAGTAAGAAAGTCAATAACTTCTTTTTTGGGATCCCGTTTATGTTCTTTTTCATCTGGACAAACTAGCCTATTCTATTTGATGCAGGCCTGTGATTGCTTCGCAATTGCTTCTTGTGGATGAAGTTATTCGTGCTGGCCGTAACATGCGGAAGCCAACTTAGTCCCCGAGCTTGAAGAAAGTAAATTTTTGTAACCATGTCATGATTTTGTTTGGATTTCTCGAGTTTAAGATAACTAACTTGGAAGAGTGGGCAGATTGTTGGGGTTTGCCTTGAGTGTGTGCGCGGTTCTTGTTTAGTGGGTGGGAAAAGCTCCATCTTCTTGGATCCTCTTCCATGATTAGAGTTTTGTGGGTGATTTAGAATGGGTAGGTCTGAAATCTTTCTACTATATTGTTCTCTTTTTAGAACGGCAGAGACCAAATGCTTGTGAAATTTGTGGGCACTTTTTCCATATTTAGAATGCTGTATACTTGAGTCTCTCTCTCTCTAACAGAGGGTAATCCAGGGTGGTTGCAAGTGTCTTCTCTTGTTTAAAGAATGTTGCTTCTTATTGAAAAGTAATAAATGGAACATGGATGAGAAAGCTTGTTTTCTAAATATTACATATGAAAGGCATTTTGGAATGCGTGAACCTGATCTCGTCCTGGTCATGCAGCATTTGTGTTAGTTGGGCTTAGTGTTCGGATTTGATTATTTACTTCGAAAAACAAACAAAACTTTGATTGGGCTTTTCTATTTTTTGTCCTTCTCCCGGAGGGACTTCGTAGTTTATATGAGCATTAAAGATAAGCTTGATCTAGAACAGTCTAATGGTATGGCTGGCAACCATCAGGGCTTGGCCCTGATCCTATAGGTCTGGCCCGAACTGAACTGTGCCGAGGCCCTGGTTCTATCCTAGCCTTGACTGGGCTAGGCGAGGCCAAATACTATCAGAGAAAAATACAAGAGGGAAAAAATAAGAAAAAAAAGGTTGGGCTGAGCCGAACTGGGTTGACCCTGTTGTGGCTCAGGTCTAGGTGCAGCACTTGGGCTAGGCTCAGGCCTAGTTTTGTAGGGCTTGGCCTGTCCAGCGTATTGCCCGCCCTCGCTAAGGAAATGCGCCAAACTTGTTTATTGGAGAAGTTTAATTTAATTTGTTCACTTACAATGGTTTAGTTTTTTTATTTTATGTTTATCTGGTTTGTATCATGTTAAGATTATTGGATTACTCTACAATTCCTGATATATTATAATGTTAGAGTGTTAAATTATGAATATTTATCCTAAAAATATTGTCAATTTGAAATAGAGGATTAGAAATCGTGAGACATGGGATGAAATGTTATTGTATCTTATCTTTTATTTTGGCGATAAAGTATTATCACCACAAGCAAGGAGTATGTCATAGAGTTTAAAGAAAGAAGATGGGTGATTAGAGGTTAAATTATTTCGAGGCGACTGCAAAACTTCCTCTTCCTAATGAGGATACTCTTATTTGTATTGATGTCTTTCATGTCCTCGAGTGAGGCGTAATCTCATTTCCTTGTCCAATGTTGATATGGATGGTTTTAAAATGAATGTAAAATTGGGTAAAATGACTCTTATAAAGATGAGATGATTGCAGCAAAGGCCACTCTTTGTGGGAATTTATACTAACGTTGAAATCAATGAAATAAAAGTGCCACCTTCCTCTTATATTACTTATTCCTCTTATTCTAGAAAGCTTTAGTGTATGATATAGAAAATTAAAGAAACATCGGTTATTGATGATTATTCATGCTTAACATGCATATTTAATTTACCATAAAATGAAGCTTTAGAAAAGTTTACATTAAGACAGGGGCTTTACTTAGGTTGAAGGAATAAGCTTATAAGGAAAATTTTTCCCAGGTTACTAGAAAGTCCTCTATTAAAATAATCTTAACACGAAATAATTATCTTGACTTTGACATCAATCCTTATGGTGAGATTCCTAAATGGTGAGATGGAAGAAAATATTTTTGTGAGGCAACTAGAGGGATCTGAGTCCAAAAGAGAAGATTGTAAGATAAGTTCCCCCTATGGGCTAAAATAGTCCTCAAGGTAGTGGTATTTAAAAATTGTTGAATCACTGAAAAATTATGGCTTTGTTAACATAATTTTTTACTACTGTGTATACGTTTGACATAGTAGAGATAGTAATCTCATTTTAGTATTATATGCAGGAGTAATGATACTATGCAATCCTCCCATACCCATGTGAGTACGACCTCAAAAGATCACTATTAAATTTTGACACAGATCTCTAGAAAAGTTATCACATGGGTGTGAGACTTCTTAGTGAATGGGTTTATTGATAACTTTTCTAAATATCTGTGTCAAATATTTAATGGTGATCCTTTGAGGTCCTACTCACATGGATGTGAGAGGGTCTCATAGTATTATTACTCTATATGCAGATGCCATTTTGATTATTGCCATGGTTTTCATAAGATTTTATTATTTTTCTTATTTTTATTTTTCTTGATTGGCTTGTGTTTAGCCTAAGAAGAAAATGTTATAATGAAGTGAAATGGGTACTTGGACATTTGAGAAGTATGGGAAAGCATTGCCAAGGTTAAGAACATAACGAAGGCCTCGTGGGAGAGACTTACGTAAGGGATCTCGATGATATGAGATCAAGCATCGGTTGTGCTGGCAGGTGTGTAGATTCACCTAGAACATGTGTGAAGGCAAGATGGCCTCAAGATCTCAAGAATGAAATTATTGAAGAAGGTGAAGTTTGCCTAAGAAGTACAAGCATGAAGGAAGTTTTCTAATGATTCTAGGACTATTAAAGATCTTTTGAGTCACTAAGGCTATCCATGTTCTTTGGTGGGGCTATACAAAATTCTTCAATGTGACAAACTCTATTACAATTAAAACATCTTTGTAATTTCTTAAAGGACTTTTCTTCTTTCATCTCTCTCTTCTTTTCTTTTTTTGTCTTTTATTTTTCGTTAGTATTAAACTTTGTAAACTTCCTTTGCTCGGCTATAACAGCTTTCTTTGAGCTCTTTCATTTTTCTCTTTGGCTTAGTTACTCTCTTTCATCCCAAGTTTCTTTCAAAAAATTTTAATATATAAATCTTGCTCTGTCTCATCTCGCTATTTCTTGTAATTTTTATACCAAGATTTTTTATTTGTTATTTATTTTTTAAGTTCTCCAAAGTCCATCTCAAATTCTGAAGAAAACCATGGCCTTGAGGACTGTTTAAGCCCATAGACTTCTTTAATTTGCGTATTTTGTTTTCTTGTCCCTAAGACTCATATCCCTCAAGTTGTCTCATTAAAATATCATTTTCTAACTCACTATTCCGGAAGGTTGTCTTTACACCTATTGTGGCGCTAGTTTTTATCAATATCTTTCTATGAATTTGGTAGCTTATAGAAAGTGTTGGCCCAATCACGTCAGATCTTTTTGGTTTTTGAAAATAAATGGAGCCATATAAGCATAAAAATTGATATTTCAATTAAACCAGAAAAATCAAACACTTGGAACGCGATCTTAAATCCTTCATTTTGCGCTAAAATCAAATCATTATGGTTTGCTAGAAGTCTTATCATCATTTTAAAAACCATGCATTAAGATCAACATTATTATCATGCACAAAAAATTAAAACCTGAAATTGAGTATGATGTGAACTTTATCCAAGAGCATTAATAAAGCCAAAGTAAATTCCCAGCAATGCCTAGATTGAACTCCATCTAAATCATATCGAACAAATACAGATGATGCCTTAAGGTTTTCTCCTTACTCATGTAACTTTTACCAAATTTCAAGTACTAATTTAAATAAAAATGGGAACAAAATCATATGAGAAACTCATTGATTTTCTAAAAGTATGCAAACCTTGCTTTGTTCCTTGCCTAGAGAGAAAGTCTGAAAGTATCATTCTAACGCAAGTTTTTTGTTTTTGGAACATTCATAATGAGTTGTATGATTTGATGACGCTTGTGGTTGGGTTTTCAATATTCGACAAGTTGGTTAGTCATCACGATCATGTCATCAAAGTATTCTAACAACGATTGCTTCTCTCTTGTGCTTCTTAGTGAGTTGAGTACAAGGACGTGCCTCTCAAATTTATAAAAGCCCTATAATGATCATAGGATAGTCACAATACCATGTTTCTATTGTTCTTTTTTTCTCACGCACTCCATTCATGGTATTTAAGTAGCAACAAAACATGCATGCAACCCTATACAAAATCAGTGTGTTTCTTCTATGATTTTGTTTCAATTTTTTTATTGCAAATATTATTTGAAATTGGGAAAATGTTCCATGAGCAACGAGAGAACCGTATAGCTTCATTCCTACTTGTTCGATATGATTTAGAAGGAACTCTAATCTTGATATACTTGTTGGAAATTTGTGCTTGGTTAATTAGCTCCTGGATATGGTTCACAAAATGCATACTCAATTTGGGGTTTTGATGTCTTGTGCATGATTGTTTAAGTGTTTATAACATTTCCAGCAAACTGTAGTGATTGATATTTGGCGTGAAAAGAAAGACTTAAGTTGAAAGTGTGCATACTAAGTATCTAATGATTTTCATAGTTTAATTGGAATAAAGCTTTACAGGCTTACATAACTCCATCTATCTCCGAAAATTAAAATGATCCGCTGTAATCCTGTAAATGAATAATAGATCATCACAACAAATACACTTTATTAAGTAAATTAATTTGGAAATTGCACCATGGTTTATGCACTATAGAACCAGAAAGTTTGCATACTCAACTGGCAAGTAATAAGGAGCTACTCTTTTCTGTTTGAGAGGAGTTTGACACATTTCCAAAGGTTTATCTTAACATTGCACATTATATGTGTTGGGTGATTTTGGTCATTAAAGGCTTTATGAGTACTTATAAAATGAAATGATATAGTGGAACATGAACTCAGTAGGATTGTAGACTTTTGTAAACCATACTAAACAAACGATGTTACCTACGTGTAGAAAATTATCCGATAAGGGTTCTAATAGGTCATCCCTTGATGAGGTCGGAGTATATTCGGAAGAGTGAGTTACGGGACTATGCGGCCATTTTGTGTAATGGTCGCCTTCAGAGACCGGAGCCAAAGCCTCATCCATATACCATCACACGATATGCATAATAATAACTGTTTCGAGAAAGCAAACCACCTTTTACGGTGAAGCTTATGCATATGTGAGAGATACTCTTATGCGCCATAGGAGCTGTAGTCGCATCAAGTCTAGGTGACCTTAGCACGTCTCTATGACAGAACTTGAAATCCACAAAACTGAGATTACTACCCATTGGCTCATCAACTAGGCTCTGGTGTCCCACTAATGAGCCCCTGCATGAACTGTGGGTTATAAAAAACACTGGGTCGGTTGATAAAAAGTATGAAATGTAGTCCACGGTTGAGGGTGGAGTGCCCCAAATATTTATTCTTAGACCAAATGGATTTTTATCCCATCTAATGAATTTAATTATATTTATTTTATGATAATATAATTTTAGAAATATTATTTGAATTTTTCTAAATCTCTGGATATTTTATTTATAAAATTTTAATTTATAAAAACGGAGATACTGAATTTTAAAAACTATTAAAAGAGTATTGGGGGCCCATTGTGCACATGGACTCACCATGCCCTAAATTTGTGGGGCTCACGTAGCCACCGTTTCGGTGGCACGTCCCACTTTTAGGAGCCTTTCATATTTTATACGGGTTGAAGATGATAAGAGTAATAACTTTGGATTAGAGGCCAAGTCATTATGAGATTTGAGAAGGTGATTTATCTTATGAAAGATTTAAATGAAACTTTTAGAAAGCATGATAAGGACCTTGCATATTTTTGGATAAAAGACAACATTATGATTAATATTATTTTATTTGATTTATAATGATGGGATAATGGTCAAAGGAAAGAAGAAATAAATATTCTAGCAACTTCCATATTGATCCCCATCTATGGAATGGGGGCTCAAATCTTTCACTTCACAAGTCACCCATGATCAATAGTTTATATTCGATCTACAAGAAGAGGGCAAAGAAATTCTAAATCCTATTTTTGCAATATAATAAGAGGACCCTTGCCCATTTTCTACACCAAAACTTTTTATCGCTCTCTTTCATCCATCTTGGGGGCACACCCCACTTGGGAACGCTTTCTCTCTCATCTTGGAAATCTCTCCCTCTCAAGAAAGCCTAAAGGGGCACGCCCCACTCTCTCCACCTCTTGTAGGCTATGGAGTTCTTATTTTCTCATATCTCAACGATGGATTTATGGTTAAAAGTTTAGACTATGGAGTTTTCTCACTCCCATCTCTCAACTACAGATTTATGGCTAAGAGTTTAGGCTATGAAATTCTTTTCTCTCTCATCTCTCAACTATGGATTTATGACTAAGGGTTTTAAGGTGTAGCAAAAAGAGCATCAATCTCTCTCTAGAACTAGGTTGTTAAAGGAATTAACCTAGGGTTTGAGTCGGTTGTTAAGGGAGTTCACCTATGGTTTGAGTTTATATTTAAAGGGGTTCATGTTCCATTGGTGTGGTTTGTCCAAACTTGCTTTTTCGGTTTAAATTGAAGGTTGACCATTAGACCCCGCACCATCGGAAGGTAGTGACATAGATTGGGTATTTTCTTTTTGTTAATAAAAAGTATGGTTTGAATAGCTTCAAGTTCTTGAGATCTTATTGCATTTTTATTTATTTATTTATTTATTTATTTGAGGTTATTATATTGTAAAAGGACTTCTAATGAGTGATCTATGGAGAAAAAGAAAAGAATTGAAAAAAAAAAAAAATATTATATAGTTCTGCTGGATCACACGTGTCCCTTCAGTATGTTCTCATTTGAATAAACTTAAGGAGACAAAAAAAGAATCAAAGTAATCCGAAGAACTCACTTTGTACATAAGGCTGTATTGAAACAATTTTAATTAAAAGAATCATTTAGTTGTACAATAAGATTGTCATGCACAATCCAAGATCACCATTGTCTTTGCACCCACTTAACAAAGCGCCCCAAACCCCTGCTTTAGGCTTCCAAGGTATTGCCTTAATAAACTCACAAACCTCTTTAAGCCTACCGGCTCGACTAAGTGAGTCCACTATACATACGTAATGCTCAGTGCTTGGGCTCACTCCGAAGCCCTTAAACATTAAGTCAAAATGAGCCAAGCCCTCATCTACCAAGCCTGAATGGCTGCAAGCCCTGAGAACACTGCTGAAAGTGCTTTCATTTGGCTTCATCCCTAAAGAAAGCATCTCTGAGAAGAGAGAGAGTGTTTCTCTTCCCTAACCATGAAGCCCGTAAGCCCCAATCATTGCATTCCAACACACGATGCTTCTCTCTCTAACATCTTTGAATATCTGAATTGCTTCTTCTAACCTTCCACATTTGGCGTACATATCTATGAGGGCAGTGCATATGAAAGCATTTTGTTCAAACCCATTATGAGTAATACGATCATGTATGTGCTCCCCTAGTTTGAAGTCTCCTAGTTGAGCACATGCTGATAAAACACTAGCCAGGGTCATCTCATTTGGCTCGAAATCCATTTGATAAAAGAGTTCTCTGGCTTTATGGGGTTGTTTGTTCTGTGCATAACCAGATATCATTGAATTCCATGAGTATAGATTTCTTTGATTAGGGATACTACCAAATATAAGCTCTGCACTTTTGATATCCTTGCATTTGCAGTACATAGATTGTAATGCATTGATTAGATGGATATTGAATTCCAGTCCAATTTTGAGTACATATCCATGAACCCATATGCCTCGGTTTAGAAGTTTGAGCTCACCACAAGCACTAGGAACACTCACAAGGGTAATAGGGTCTGGATTTATAAGTATAAGAAGCATTTGGGCAAAGGTTTCCAAGGCTTCTCTGCAAAATCCAGTTTGTGCACATCCGTGTTCCATGAAACCACATCTTGCACAGAAATGTCTTCGAACACTGACAGCCTAGATTCTAATACATGAAAACAATGGCATTTTGGGCAGCTATATTTTGTGAAAAACCCAATTTGATTTTCCAAGAGTGGATTAATCTCCCAAATGCAAGTGACTCTAAACAGTCACAAGAGGAAAGAACACCTATTAAAGTAGCTAGGTTACATCTCTGACTAGAATTCAGAAAATCTCAAAAAAGAATCACGACATCTCTTGAAAAGCCATTATTTGAATATCCCGCAATCATGGTGTTCCATGTGATCAAATCTCTCTCATCCATCTTTTCAAGAAGCAACATTGCTGAACTTATATCAGAGCATTTTGTGTACATGTCTATCAAACTGTTAATCACAGTCAAATCCAAACCCAATTCTCTTCGAATCACAAATCCATGTATAAACTGGCCATGCTCCAACAGTTTTGATTTTGAGCAATGTGAAATTAGAGTCACCACAATAACTGAATCAGGCTTGAGACCATCTGATTCCATCTCCTCCAAAAGGCCAAAAGCTTCTGAAACTCTTTCATTCTCTATGAAAGCATTGATCATTGAATTCCAAGAGACCAAGTCCCTAGAAACCAATCTTTCAAAGACCTTACAAGCATATTCAATATCATTGATTTTTGAGTAAAATGAAATGAGCGAATTACACATAGAAATATGAGCATTTCCAAACCCTCTTATGAATCCCCAACAATGAATAGACTTTCCAATGTTTGGGTTCCCTAAATCATGGCAGGCTGAATTATGACCGATAGAGTTATTGAATCTGGCATGGCATTGGACAGCACCATTTTTCTGAAATACCCAAGGGAATTTTCAGGCTTTTGGCAATGCAAACACCCCCAAATCATCGTATTCCAAGCTTCAGTTTCTCTAAAATGCAATCTCTCAAAAATGGTCTTTGCACTCCTCAAATCCTTGCACTTTGCATACAAATCAATGAGAGCATTTTCCACTGAAAACCCGGAGTCCAATCCGTGCCTTAAACTAAACCCAGGAATGGACATACCCAAAGTCATAAGTCCCAAATGGGATAATGCAGGGATAACAATTACCAAAGCAGCGGAATCAATCCCCACATTGTCCATTTGCATTTGCCTGAACAAATCCAAGGCCTCTTCATAACACCCATTCCTTCGTAAACCAGCAATCATTGAGTTCCAAGCCACCAAATCTTTGAAAGGAAGGCTTTTAAAGAGAAACCAAGAAGAACCCAATTCACCTACATTCGTGTACATGGTGAAGAGAGAAGTTGCAGAGGAAACATGAGATAGACATCCACTCTTCTCAGCCAGGCAATGAAGACACTTGCCTTGTTGTAGAGAGAGATTCGACCGAATGGCTGAAAGGGCAGTGAGGAACGTGGTTGAATCTAGTTTGATGCCTGATTGCCTCATGAGGTTTATAGAGAGAAAAGTTTTGTTGGGGCAATGAGTATAAGCACAAAGGAGCGTGTTCCATGAGCTTAAGTCTGGATGGGTTATTTTGTCGAACAGTTGTTGGGCTTCTGGAGAGAGAAAGCATCTGGCATAAAAGTGGAGGACAGAGGTTTGGAGAAAGGGGTCGTTGGGGTGGAGACCGAGCTTGATGCAGTGGGAATGGAGGGCTCAGCCTTCCGGCACGGCTGAGAGGGAGGCACAAGCCCTGGCCATTAGAGAGAGAAAGCGGGCTTGGGGTGAGAGTAGGCCTAGTCTGGGCATGGATCATGGCTACTCTATCTCTATATATCGAGTGAAGTTAAAAATCAAACTCAGGAACCAATGGCTCAGGCCTTTCCCCTTCCACTCACAAAAGTTTGGCACCGCATGTATAATCTCTCTCTCTCTCTCTCTCTCTCTCTAAATCTTTGCTACGGCATGTAGAATCTCTTTCTCTCAATTGGGGTTTCCTTTTATTTAGCATTGTCGCCTCTCCTTTAATGCACAGGTATTACAAAGATACAAATGGAAATATAAATCCCATAAGCATTTCAAGCATGACACATTTATACGGCATCTAGAGTGGATTTTACAATTAGATTTGAGGAATACAAAAAATTATCAAAGTTGCCCATGTTTTTTTCTTGCATTATTATAGCTTGGCTTCGATAATGGGGTTGGGCTTGGGCTTGGGCTTCAATTATGCCCAAGCTAAAGTCCGGGCTTCTATTCTTACCTAACACATTCAAACACCACTAATTATTTTAAAACTGCGCAGGTGCTCATCATCCCCACTGCATTACCCAAAAAAAAGAAAAAAAGTTGTATCTTCTCTCTTTTCACAACCCTACCCTATTATAATGAATCTTATTTCTTTGATAGGTGTATTATCATTATTAATAGGAACCACTTTAGTTCTTTCTCCTTTTAAATGAAGGTATTCGCGCTTAGATGGTGAATCTTATTTCTTTGATAGGTATGTGAACATTGAGATTAGGAGGCCCTTTGTCTCCTCCTCGGTTTCTCCTTCGGAACAAAGGTATTTGCGCTTGATGGCGGCTCAAATTTGCCTCATGAAAACTTTATATTCCTTGAGGATGTTCTACCCCGTCCATTTGTGAAGGTTCATTTGAAACTGAAAACCTGTTCAACATTAGTTGGACAAGTGGGCAATGTTAGGATTTACTAGAAAAATATTAGTTCGATGAGCGTCCTCTAGTAAGAGTAATCATGAACCGTATAGATCATCCTCATGGGGTGGTGACGGGAGGGACCTAATTGGTAGAAACAAACCCATAATCCCTTGGGGTTATCCTGTGTTTGGTAGATGAAATAGGAAAAAGAATAAATATAGTAATAGTTCTACTCTTTATCATTGTCAATAAAACAAGTCAGGTAAACGGCGGCATTGGGTGAACAACGTGGGATTGAATGCGCTAATGGTGAATTCACGATCCACTACCTTGATCAACTTGGTTATATATGCCCATACCTATCTTTCTTTCTCTTTTCTCTGAATCTCTAGGAAAATGTATGAAGCTAAAAGAATCCAAGTCTCTATTTATTCATCATTTTATTATCTTATAAATCAAGGAAAAGTGATGAAAAGTTTAATGATTTTGTGGAAGATACATTAATTATTGATTTGTGTGCCATAAAACGAAAAGAGAAAAATATTTTACTGGACTAAGAAAAAACTAGCCATGCTAGAACTGTCAAAGTGAAGTAAATAAATTCATTGAAATGAAAGAAATTATCAGGTAAATAGAGCAACAATACCAAATATCTTGTTCATAGCACAAGACTTTTCTACTTAAGTATCCAGCGCTCCACGCTTCTTTGTGATAATATATATCATGTAAGCTTTCTCCAATTATTTGTGATCAGCTACATGATTCGCGGATTCTACCATTTTATTCATAAATTTAGGATTCATGACAAGATTTGATAAAGTTTTACATTGGTCAACCTACCTAACACAAACCCTCCTCTGTTACTCGAGGCCAGCCAAGCTATAATTATGTCCTACTTAGGGCCAGCGAAGGTATAATTATGTGCCAAAAAAAAGGAAAACATTTGAAAGAAAAGGTTAAAATTTGAGAGGAAGAGAGTTGTATAAAAGAGGGTCTTTACGGGCTGCTTCGAACTTTATCATGCCGCTTGAAACGAAAGAAAATAAGTGGTTTTATGTGTAATGCTGAATTTGAGGGGTTCATATTCTCTCCAATCAATGTAAAGTAACTACTACCATTTTAAATCACAAAAATGTGCAAATCAATCATCACATACACTTTCAAAGGCTGAAGGACCGAAGAAATCCAGCAATATTTAGCGACATCCATATTCTGCATAATACTGACCAAGATTGGAAAAAAAAAAAAAACAGGGAGAGAGAATTGAGAGAGGAAAATAATTCAAAGACTAAGCACCAACATAAATGCAATCTATAAACCTGCTCCCTATACTAGGATTAATTAAATTATATATATGCACTTTTGATCGGTGAGGACTTTAAACTTTTTTTTAACCCATCCCAAGCCTAGATAAAAAGGGCAGACACCATAAAAATTTGTCACATCTTATCATGTATCCTATAAGAGAAGAATTAAAGCTTGGATGGTGATATATATACCCATGGAAAATTATACAATAAGACCATTTACCTTTTACATAAAATGGTTACAGTTAATCTTTACCGTTGGATGTGAAATTGAGTTGTTGCATTTATTCTATTGACCAAGCTCACTATTCGAAAGAATTTTTCTCGAACTTTGTGAGCCACTCAAGCTATTAAATTTTACATTAGATAATTACAAATAATTATGACCTGTTTGTACCATAGGTAAATGATCTTGTTATATACAGCCCTTATACCCATCATGATCAAGTTTAAAACTTTTGCATTTTATACTCTCATGCCAAATTAGACCCATTGGTAATCAAAATTATTGGAATTTCGGCATCTCGATTTGGGGAATTGGTGGGGTTCCAATTTTTAATGTTGTTTTGAGGTTTTCAACTCCAGCCATGAGCCCAGACACCAAATTCTAGGCTCTATTGATCAAGTTGTCGAAATACATTGAGGAGATAGTGAAGTCCTAAATTAATGTAGGCAGGACCGTTTGTTGGTTGGGCAAATTAAAATCACATTTTGAGATAAGCTAAAGAATAGCAAAAATATTTCATGCTCCTGAGTAGGCGTACTATTCATTTACTCCCGCAGTGAGAACCTTTAGGACATTTTGGGTATGTTACCTCTTCAAACCATATATCATACTCAATAAAAAATTCTTAGAAATTCTATTCTCTAGTCTTTCTCAAGATTAAATATCTAATTTTTGAAGGGTGAGATCTAAGTGTCAGAAAACTCCAATTATTTTTCTTTCGAATGTAATTATCTAGTGGATTTTAGGCGGTTCTCAAAATTTTGGATAAGAAAAAATCTTCCCAAGTTAGTCTCCTGTTGGAGGGAGTAAGCGTACATTATATGCTCCCACAAGAACACAATATACATGCTCTAAAGAATAAGCACTCATTAAAACATAAAAAGCGTGGATAAATACAAACATACATACAACATATCTCAATGAAAAGTTTGAAAGAAACATAAATATGCTCATTCACACATGCACATGCATATACCAACTTCCATTAACATCCATAGGAAAATGGTGTAAAATCATATACTTTTAGCACAAGGAGGTCATAACTATTCTTAGCTATAGTTGTAAAATCTGACCGACTGATAGTTGTAAAATCTGACCGATTGAAGTCTGCCTCAGCATTCGAGAAATTTTATTTTGGAGTTTGTGCCAAATGAATGATATATCCCCAACTACCTCATTTCATGTTTAACAATCAATAATGATTGTAACTTCCTTATACCAAAAGTAATCAGGAAAAATTACAAAAAAAAACAAAAAACCAAGACTACACTTTCTATGCAACTTACCCCATGCTAACTTTCTTTCTCACTTTTTTCTCCAAAATACAATTTCTATGCAAATACCCCCCAAACCAAATAAAAAATAAAAAAAATATCTAAACTACCTTCCCTTACTTTTGCCTTACCTACACCTCTCTCTCCTCTATCCCACCAAAATAGGGGCTCCGGCACTATGTAAATGTGGCCCGGCAGTAGGGCTCTGACACTATGTAAAGCGTAGTCCGGTAGTAGGGCTCCAGCACTATGTAAAGTATGGTTTGGCAGTAGGGCCTCGGCATTGTGTAAAATGCAATTCGGCAATAGGGCTTCGAAACTGTATAAAGTGCGGTTCAGCAAAGGGCGGTCCAGCAATAGATGTTACTAGATTCCAAGGCTCCGGCACCATGTAAAGGGCAGTCTGACAATACTCAGTTTTGGTCCGATAGTTGTTTTAGGATGGTCCGGCATTTATGTGCTTCGGCAATGTGATGGTGTGCTCCGGCAATGTGCTACTGGGTCTAAAAGTCAACGTCAAATCTGGCAAAAATGATTTTTGTGTACGGGAAGGGCATTTCTGTCGAAAAAAAATGAAGTTTTTTCCTTAGGGGGTATTTATATAGAAAGTTTGTTTTGGGCAAAAAAGTGAGAAAACAAATTAAGTTGGGGTAAGTTGCATAGAAAGGGTGGTCTTGGGGGTTTTCTATAATTTTCCCAATTAATTATTCTTATTACATACATATCCTATAGAAGAAATTGTGTACCATAAGGACCGTTCATTTTTGGTAAAAGGAGTTCACAATCACTCTTAGTTATTGAATATGAAATTTGATATATTGATGCTTGTCACAATATTTGAGATATATTATTTTTGACTTTATACTAATTAATGACTTGTCTCTAACTATCCAATTTCACATCTAATGATCAATAATGACTCTGACCTGCTTATACCAAAATTAATTGGTCTTAATGTATTTCATTCTTTTTTGTTAATCATAGGATGAAGCGTCCCATTCGACAACGGCCAAAGAAAATGGAGCATTACTTGGTTGACGGCATCTTTGAATTTTTGAAATCTTATATGGAGAAACTACTAGGAAACCTATATTCTTTCAAATATCCAAGTTTGGGATTTGATTTTGCAATCTATAAAGGGATTACCTTTTGTGGAAATATTTGCAGATGATCCAAAGTGCATCTCCATTCTTTTCAACGTATATTCGCAAAATCATAAGAAAAATATGAGAAATTTCCTCCACAACTACTTACCAATTGCAATGGAAGATGAAGTATTTAGCATCAAGGAAGGTCGATGTCTATAAAAAAAAATGGATATTATTTTATCCCATGACTTCTCTTTTTCTTCTTAAGTTTTCCACATAAGCATCGTTGATTACGAAAGGTTTCTTTCTTCATTGTAAAAGAAAATGCTTTTTGATGTCATTATACTTGAGAAGGGTTGGTATTGCATCTACATACTGTGGATGCTCAAAAGGTGCTTGTGCACCTTTAATGGTTCGGATTGAACAATCCTCATCCAAGGGCTAAAAATAAATTGTATTTTTATTTTTTATTTTAATTTAACTATGATATTGATCTGAAATTTGGGTTTTAGCCTCATTTTAATAAGTAAATCAAATAAAAATAAAAAAAAATATTTTGAATAAAAACATTGATTAAAATAAATTTAGCGGTATTTTATTTTTTTATTTAACATATTTTTAATTTTTTTTATTGAATTATATATATATAAATAAATTTACACCACAAATTTAGATAAATTTGTTAAAATAAAATATAATTAAATTTTGACGGTTAGATATGAACATGTGGGATCTCAACCATTGAAAAGGTGCTTATGCAGCTTACTTTTCCTCGAAAGAATTTCATCTGCTTGGGGTGGAGGATTGGTAAAAGATTTTTAAAAAGGTGGTAAAAGATTCAAATAAGAAGCGGATTCCCTTTGATGAAGAAGTACATGCACATAACTGTTGCTTTACTCCATTCAACTGGTCAAAAGGAGGAGCTACAAAGTGGGGAATGTAAGAAGAATAATTTTAATATGGCAACCCATTTGTACTTCGGAAAACACTGGTTGTCACCACAGTGCACAAAAAGGCAACACAAAGTAAACCTCATGTGTATTGTGATAAAGGAGAAGTCCAAGAGGCTAGAAAACTATCCCATTTGGATTGAGCAAAATCACAAACACTTGAATTATGGGGATGGGCTTTCTTTGACATGTATATAGACGCTGGGTCATGAACTCTCGGCCCAAATCTAGACATGAATTGCCCTGCCTAGACTAGCACATACATATTTGGCTAGATTAGCAGAGAAGGATTCCTTGTTAGTCGTACGAATGAAATTCAAGACATCATATTAGACGTCCTGCCATCTTAATTATCTAGCCTTGAGTGTCTTCCTGCAAGCAATGTATACTGACTGACTCGGGCTTGGGCAAAGCCAAATTGGGCTGGGCCCATTGCTTGGCCTACCACAGTACCAGGGAAAAAAATATTGCTCGGTCATTTTCATACATGGGAGACTCAGAATCAATTTCAAATCTAAGGGATTCTCACAATTTCAACTTAAAGTGAAAAATAGAAAAATAGGAAAACTTACTTTCTTCTTTTATTTTGGATTGTCGATCTCCCGTTGTAGAAAAATTTTCCCTTAAAAGTTTTAAAGGACACAGTTTATATGAGCCCATGTAGAAATGAGTCATCTCTTAAAAATCTCTTTTTGAGATGGATTTGTGGACCTAATTTTAAGGACATGTAATCTCCGACATGGATATCATGAATACAAATAAATAAATAAATCTTGAAAATTAAAAATAATAATTCTATTAAAAAAAAATTTAGACCGCTAATTTCAATTGTTTTTAGATGGACCACCTATTTGCATCCATCTTTTAAGACGGGTGCTTTATATTAGGGGACTGCAGATGTAGAAATGCAGTCCCTGCCGTATCAAATAATTTTCCAAGTTTAAAACATAGCTCTCCCTCTCTCTCTCTCTCTGTCTCAAGAAAATTGCATTTCTTTGATATAAAGGATACCCAAGAAGCAAGATCAGCGTAGTGATGTCATGAGGTACGTATCTGATCCGGATCATATGCCTTTCAGTTCACGTGCAGAGGAAGGGACCCTTACCCGGAATCAAAGGTCAAGTGTTTGAAAATAATTGAAAGAAAAAGGTCGGCTGGGCCCAATAATTTAATTTAGGGCCCCACCTCTAGGGTCTCCTATTAGGGTTGACCAAATTTTCATGCATTCCCCCACTTAATAGTCTAATAGGCTTGCTAGTGGAATAGAAGATGGTTATGCAAATACTAAGAAGCAAGTATGCTCTTTTTTTAAAAGGGTGAAGCGTGCATTTTGACCAAGTTTTTCTCTCATTATTTGTATCTCCTTAGTTTCTCACTCTTCTAGAAATTTATTGTTAATCCAATGTGTCTCTCAAGGATGTAAATGGGCTAGGATTGGGCTGGGCTAGGTTGGGCTTAAAAAGATGAAACAAAAAAGACAGGCCGAATCGAACTGGGCTGGCACTAACCCTTGGGACATTGCTTGTGGGCCAAGCCCTACTTGTTTTAATTGACTGGGCTGGGCCAACCGGCCCAGTCCCAAGCCTACTCTCTCTCTCTCTCCAGGGCACCACAAAACTTAATGAACGTAACTTAGTACTGCTGATCATAACTTGTAGCTATTCTCATTATCTTGATTATTATTCACTTAATATTAGATAAGATAATAGTCGGCCATGCATATGCCAAATACCACCGCACCAGTACCTTAGGTGGGGACAGGTGGCGACGTTCCACATGGCCACTTGTCATCCTGTTAACAGCACAAACACATTTGCATCAATCTGACTTTCGGCAACACTCTTTATCCATCCCCTTCCTTTTTTTTGTCCACATTTTTTTTGTTTTTTTTTCTCAAATTTCATTTCCCAATTTCCTTGCTTTATAAGGAGGACGACGCCCATGCCTCACACCAAACCACTAAACCCACTAAATCAAACTTTCCCCAAAAAAACCCTAACTCCCGAAACCCTAGGCCACCAATCAATTCATCGCCATTTCCTCCCCAAGCAACCAGTCAATTCATCGACAATTACTCGCCAAACCCCTATGCAACCATACATTTCCTCGCCAAAACCCTAAGCAACCAATCAATTCAACTCGCCAATTACTCGCCAACCCCTAAGCAACTCGCCAAAACCCCAGGTGGCCAATCAATTCATCGCCAATTACTCGCCACACCCCTAAGCAGCCACACATTTCGTCGCCAATTCATCGCATGAGAAGGAGAAGGATGGGACTCATCTCACTCGGCGATTCCAAGCACCAAATCGGCTCAATTGACCGTGGACATGGCTCCGTTATCGACGAAATCCCGGGCCTCATCCGAGTCTACAAGGATGGCCACGTGTACCGCTATCCTGTCGTCCAAGAGTCCCCATGTACGATTGAAACTGGCGTGTCATCACGAGATTTCTCAATAGATTGTGGCTTGTGGGCCCGCTTCTATGTGCCAAACCGGGTAGATAAGCCCGCTCTATTAATCTACTTTCATGGCGGTGGCTTTTGTGTCGGCTCGGCGGCTTGGAAATGCTATCATGAGTTTCTTTCCAAGTTAGCCGTGAAATCGGGCTGTGTTATAATGTCAGTGAACTATCGGTTGGCACCAGAGCACCCGCTACCAGCAGCTTATGACGACGGATTTGTGGCTTTAACATGGGCGATTCGGCGTGTCGGAGCCGGCTCAGGAGCTGATGACCCGAGCAGATGGCTCGCACGTTGCGACTCTTCACGTGTTTTCCTTGCAGGTAAGTTTTAGAAACCTATTATGATAAAGCATTTAGGCCAGTGCCCACCTATATATAACGGTATTGGCCATTGTTTGTGGACCTGATTATGTCATTCAAGGCACAGTATGATCTACGTGACCCGGAACAAAATCGGGTGTGGGTCATAAGGGTTAGGGTTCCATTGATGCTTTAATTTTCTTAAGGTTCTTTTAGTACTTTATAGGTTGTCATGCACGATCTATTCTATACCTTCCAATGCATAGGATATTGGTTCTCGATCCGATTTTAATTATTATTTTTGAGTTTTTAGTAGCACCCTACTGAAGAAAAAACAACAAAAATAATTAGATTTGGTAAGAAGTCTTCAGACCAAGGGGCAATTTTGAAAAAATTGAAAAAAAACGGGTTGGCCGATATTCTTTGTAATTTTCACCAATAAATGGAAAATTTTGTATTTTAGAAAAAATTTTATGATTTGTCTGTAAATCACTCTTATATTTATTTATCCAAATAATGTTCATAACTCTCACGTAAAGTATACTATCCTATCCCTGGGAAAATATCCTCCCCTTAATACATAAGCACAGTGTTGGGAACTTCTACTCATTATCCACTTACAATCCAATTTATATAAAGATATGGATAACTCTCAGTTTATATCGAAGATGATCTTGCGTCTTTTTCATAACACACAGTTACATAACTACGGTCATAGTATAACCTCCACATTATGACAGTTGTTTGAACCATGAAATTGCAGGAGATAGTGCAGGAGCAAACATAGCACACCACGTGATGGCTCGACATGGCTCTGAGCCAGGATCTCGGCTCAGCTTGAGAGGAACCATTCTTATCCAACCCTTTTTTGGGGGCGAGCCACGAACCGACTCCGAGAAGCACTTGGTTCAGCCACCAGACTCGGCACTAACTTTAGCGACTTCCGACACATATTGGCGGCTTGCTTTGCCACCTGACTCGAGCCGTGACCACTTCTGGTGTAATCCGCTGTCCTCCAAATCACCTCTAAAGTTAGAGGAGGTTAAACTCCCTGCTATTTTAGTGTGTGTTTCTGAGAATGATATATTGAAAGATAGAGATTTGGGTTACTGTGAGGGTCTGAGGAAAATGGGAAAGAAGGTTCAAGTTATGGTTTATGGGGGAGTCGGCCATGCTTTCCAAGTGCTTCATAATTCACCTATGGCTGGGATTCGAACCCTCGAACTTATATCACATGTGGCTAACTTCATAAACTCATAGCCATTATGCAAACCTTTTCTTCTTCTTTTTTTATTTTTGAGGGGGGTGGTTGTAAAAGTTTGGGTTGTTTTATTTGTAGTCTTGTTTTTGGGTCAGTGAAAAGAAAATAGAGGATGTGAAGTTTGCTTGAGTATTTGATTATTGGAATGTAAAGTAGAGAGGAAAAGCATGGAAATTATATTCTTGTTACTTTTGGATTTTCCTCCATTGTTTTGGTTTTGTTTGGTGGGTAGTTGACTTCGAACTAGCAAGCTTAATTTTTATTTTTATTTTTTTGTGTTTGGTAACCAACCGTGTATATTCCTACCATTGAGTGAAATGAGATAAACGTGTTTATTTGTAGAAGAATACAATCACAATTTGACCATTGATGGGGATTTGGGAGAAGTAGAAAAAGCTTTTTGTAAGGCTGGTTGCTTGTGTAATGGGGGTTAGGTAGATGTTAATAAAAAAATATATAAAGAGATCATATATTTTTAATATAAATAGGTCATAATTATTCTTGTCCATCGTATTTCAAATCTGGTGGTTGAGAGTATGTTATTGTATAGATTCAAAGTTTAAAAACAAAATTATCAAACTCTGTCCCTAACCTAGACAGGAAATGCTTGGCCGCAAGTAAAGCCCCTTGTGCGATTGAAAAGAAAATGCACTCTCAGCACTTGATGAACTACCTATGTTGGTAATTGCCCTTGTTCCTATCTGTTTTACAGGCAGGCAAGAGCGAAGCCACGATTTAGAATGAGGGGCTGTTCGCCTTTGGAAACTGAAGTTAGGGGACCCGACGTTTATAGAGAAATTTCATGGAAATGTTATAATATATGTTTCTTTATTACATAGGAATTATATTAAAAGAGCCCAAGTGGAGTATTAGATGGGACCTTCCCACAAAACTAAGATTTTTTTTTGTTTTAATCTGGATGTCTGCCCTTCATTAACTAACAAAATTGAAGTACACGTGCAATGGGCTATACAAAATTGTCCATGAAGGCTTTAAAAAAATTTAAAACCTTCTAACTCCAAGGTTCCTTGTCTAAGCGTCCTATGCCTATTATTATCCATGTAAGCATGACTGAAATATACTAATAAACTCATGGAATGTCTTTGATTTCATCAATAATCGGTAGGAGGAGATTCCATAAGCTTTTTATGTTCCACCCATAAGCCATATAGTATTATATGTGCCTCCAGTACCACTGATCCGTCTGTTACCAATCGTTGATCTTTTAGGACTGCTCACTGAACAGTTTGAGCCTGTGTAGGTGAGGATGTATCTTACTGAATGATCTCTAACCACTCCACCAACTCAGCAGGTCCAGGCTTCCGAAAAAAACAGCTGCCAAAATTCAACTTAAGGAGGCGCGTTGGTGGTAGATCCCAGTCGTTCATTTTTTTATTGCTTGGTGGGAACTGAGATTAAGGAGGCGCCTTGGTGGTAGATCCCAGTCGTTCATTTTTTTATTGCTAGGTGGGAACTGAGAAAAAAGGGTTGAGGTCGTGGTGGTAGTACTACTTACGCCTTAGCTAAGGTCTAAGCTTCCATTCTCATCTAATGCATTAAAAAACCACTAACAATTTCAAAACTTCCATTCTCATCAAATGCATTAAAAAACCAGTTATATCGGTTGAACCAACCAATTTATCAGTTAAGCCGGTTGAACCACTTCCGGCCCCATATCCGATCAACCATCTTGAATTGATTTTTTTTATTCCGATCAAGAGATACATGTACCAATAGAAGGGATAATCTCATAACATAAGTAGATATGGAGCTTATATGCGCTTGGAAGATGATGGGTAGTGATGCAAGACCAATAAATATGATTGTTGGAATATATTTGCAGGATATGCTAACGGGGTGTAGCAAAGCAACTTAGTATACAAGGCCCTAACATGCCTTAAAAGTATGACAACCGGTCAATATACATGCATGACCAAACTATTATAAAAGACTATCAAGCCATCTCGATTTGAGATCAAGTTTAGAACTTATATTCTCATAGATCTTAAATGTCTCTCTATATGACATTGGAGAGATTGGATACGGTGTGATACGTCTTCAAATCTATCATTTATGACACAACCAGACCCTGTGAAACCTCATCAAATTGTATCAAAATGAGATGGAACTTTGCATATATTTTTAAAGAGTACTTATGTGCGTTTGGTCCAAGAATCATACAAATTGTTCATCTTTTTAGTCATTATCCAATTCCACTGCTCACTAAAACATACCTTGACCATCGGCTCGATCACAATATTTAGAGAACTAATTTAAAGCTTTTCGGAAATCATATGTGAGGCATTATAACCCTATCTTAAAAGTTTTAGGTCATCTAGAGATGATTTGACTCCAAATCCATACCCATATATCCTTCATGTGCCTCGCATACATATTCTATAACTAGGATTACCTCTAATCACTCAAATTAAGATTTCTCTTAATTGATAAGGAATTTTTTCATAGGACTTGGACCATTGAAACCCTCACTTGAAACCCTACCAATCATGTTAGGGCAGCACACTATGGGTCATTCAAAATTTAGATCGAAAGGAATTGTCATCAAAGAGTCACATTGATTAGATTCATGTGTCAGAATAGTCCATAGGCTTTGCTGACAACAGGTCCAGAGAGCCGTCTTTCCTCAATTCTCTCATGAAATATCGTGCCACATATGGTTGGCTGTGGGTTAAAATTTAAACTTGAATATTAGAGCATTTCAATTTTATGTGAGATTGGAGTCTATCATCAAAACTAGCGTTGCTTTGGAATTAAATTTATAATACATGTTTATTTTATCAAAGCACTTCATGAGAGAGGGTAGTTTGGATAAACATTATGGGTTCCTACCCTTATCACATGGAAGCCTATTTAAACCATACTAATAAAGTGGGGAGGGGATTGTTTTTTTTTTTTTTTAATTCTCACGTACCATATGTTCTCATATTTTTATATGATAAAGAGAGAGCGACGAGACTCTTTTACCACACCATTTTTATTATGTACATAGGACAAGAGACAAGCCCCTATAGTGCTCTCTTCTCTTCTGCTACGTGTGAAGGCATACAGAGAGAGAAGTTGATCCTACATTCACTTGAAGCCCAAAACTCGAGGAGCAGGATGTGGCCAGTACTCTTGCATTTATCTAGGTATATAGGCATTATACGTCTTTTGGTACCAATCTTCCCCATATATTTTTTTTTTTAGCTTCAAGGCCCAAATCAAGGGTATTGATTCTGAATAGAGGATTGATATAAATTATAACAAGAATTGAGAGTTTCTGGAATTACACAAGAACTGTAATTCTATGTTAAAAACCCTTTTAATTTCAATATATGAAATATGAGGGTTAAATTTTCCCCAGATGTGTTAGTTCTGGTTCCTTCCATGTGAATGGAGTCACAACATCATAAATCTTCTTCCTTATACATTTCTAGGCTACTAGGTAGTAGGTCAATTGAGCTAATTTATGAGAATTATTTCGTGATTTGACCCATTTTATGGTTGTAGCTAAAAGTCGGTATAAATCTTCATAGTAAAAGGGCAACGAAGGAATAGTTGGCTAACTCACTCTTCCTCTGACTTACACAAGAAGCATATATTGGAATTGGTAGGCCCCTTGGTTTTGTCTGAGATGACCCACTGTAAGAGTATGGTTAACAATCCAAAAGTTTAGGTTTTGTGTGGAGTCAATAAAGAAATCATCAATGGTTGCAGGGGTTCGTCACTATAAAGTGATTTATAGGATGAATATAGAGTGAATTTACTCATGGGTCAAGATTTCTAGATGACGGGTCCCCTTTGGAGGAGACAGTGTACAGTTGATGCAATCTACTTAAGAGGTCTGCATAGACCTGATTTCTTGCTTCATTCAACACCTTTTGTCTCAATCAATGGTCCTACCACATTTTTTATCATAGCATATGGTTGCGTCGTTCGACCAGACAAGACCAAGGACTTAATTCTATATCCACTCGTCCTCCTAGATATGTACTCAAGTATGATCTTGCAGCTGGATCTACAAATTAGTGGTCGGGAAGTGTATATAGTAATACCCCTCCAAATGGCTAAGATGCTTGATTGGAACCCACATTCCTTATCAATTGACAATTTCAGTCTTCCCCATATATCTTTGTCACAATCTCCTGCCAATGATATGTCAATTGAATCACACATGACTACTATTATGTCAAAAGTGATTCACTTATTTGCCCCACCCTTCAAATGCCTAGTTCTCTCTTTCTGAGCGCACAAGGGGGTGAAATACACATGAAGATTAGCCAATGTGGATCTTATCAATGTGATTCTACCCTTGAGCGATAACAACTTGGTCTTCCAACAAGTTTCGTTTAATTCTCTCGATCACTACATCCTACATATACACAGTCATTTATCATGTCAGTTTTGTATTCCCCAAATTGATATCCAACACTACGATCACCACAAAGCATTGAAGGAGTAACTTAAATTTTGAACTTGTCTTTCTAAGTATTGGGTGTCATTTGCATATTGCAAATGAAATAACTTAGTCCCCTTGTGGCCGCTTTAAATCCTCTGAACAATCTTTTAGAGTTTACCTACTAGATAAACTACTCAGCTATGACAGACCAAAGGAAGGGAGAGAGGGTGCCTATCGTCTTTTGGCCCTGGACGCTTATCTACTCAGCTATGACAGAACAGAGGAAGGGAGAGAGGGTGCCTATCGTCTTTTGCCCCTGGACGCTTTGAGAAAAGCATTTCACACTTCCATTCATAAGGATTGAGAAATTTGTGGAGGATAGCAATTCAATATCCACTACCTCCAAAACCTGAAACCCATAAGCGATGTTATTTTCATGAGGAATAACTAATTAACCCTGTCAAAAGCCTTTTCAAGATCCAATTAACACATTGTCTGGTTGATTAATTTTCTGCCTAAAATATATGTATCTTTCAATCTTTGACCAATGATAATTGGGACTGGGAGATTATTTTGTCCAAACTAATATGAGTAGGACCTTTGCCACCATTTTGTACAATTGGAACTGGGAGATTATTTTGTCCAGACTAATATGAGTAGGACCTTTGCCACCATTTTGTACAAGTTCAACATAAAGTTTATCAGACAGGCGTCATCCAATGTTTCAATGTTTTTTTTCTTTTTCCGGGTTCCAGCGCAACCAAGAAGTAATTCATTTGCCTTATTGACTCTCCCTAGGTAAACTTCGTCAAATATCTT